TAGCAAAGTTGTAATAAAATTGTAGTGTGGGCCGAAATACATGATTGAGGAAAGATATTACTTATTTTAATAGTATAAGCCGAGTGTTTCATAGTACGATGTCTTATAAGTCATTTTCATATTAGATTATATTAACTATAAAATTTTACACCCATCACAAAAACAAAAAAATGTTTATTCGAGAACTTGACATCCGATTATGCAAATGATTTTTCATTTTGCATATAAGAAAAGATTTTTTTCTACAATGCTTACATCTAGGGTGTATTCGCGCCGAGTCGAACCGAGTAGTGGTATACTCGAATTCGAATACATTTGGTTCGGCTCGAACTCGAAATCCAATTCGACGAGTACAAAATTTCGAACTCAAACTCGACTCGATGACAAATTTAGTGAGCTCGAACTCGACTCGAGCTCTACTCGTTATAATTTTTTTTTCCCATAATATTTTTTTAACGAAATTTTCCACAATATTTTTGAAAAGACTATTCTTTTCAAGGAACTAAGAACAGCTTTATACGATGACAGGAAATTGATATTCAACATTTATCATCATTTGAATTTTGAGGTATCATCAAACCATTAACTTTAACCAAATGATTGAGAAGAGAAAGAAAAAATGAAATGATGAAAAGATAATGGAAAATAAGGATGGGAAGATGAAAATGAGAATAATAGCACATAATTAAAAATCAGATCTAATACCCAAAAAAATTTAAAAAGAATCAGATCTGTGAGTTGATGTGGCATTGGTGAACTAGAAGTCAAAGGGAAGAGGAAAAGGAGAATGAGAAAAATATAAGGATTGGGAAGAGGGAGGAGAAGTAGGAGGGCCGATATTTTCCAGATCTGATTAATGGAGATGAATTAGAATTCAAAGGAAGATGAAAGGTGTAATGGAGAAAGGATAAGGATGGGAAGGAGGGAGGCAGGAGGAGGACGAGATTTTCTTTGAAAAAATGGGAGTCTGATTCTCATTTGCTTATTCGACCAAAGTAAAAAAGTAAACCTGAAATGAAGAATACTCTATTATATTATATGAGAAGCAAAAGTAAAAAAATTCATTTAATCTATATATTTTATGTCATTAATATTTATTATTATATTAATATATATTATTGAGCCGAGCTACTCGTCGAGTTTTCAAGCTCAATATTATTGGGCAGAATAAGTTGAATATCTAGTTTTAAAAGATGGATAACCAACTTAATTTTGATTGATATTCTTGTATGAATATATCTCTTGATCCGTAAAGAATTAAAACCATTTTTTTTTGAAAAACCATTTTCCAATATGTTAATACTGATTATCCATTTTGTTTATGCAGCTTATCCAATCATGTTTTTTCTTTAAAACACAATTAAAGAGCGGTGACGATGATCTAGGCGTCCGCCGCCGCCTAGATCATCGTCACCGCTCGTCCTAAGGCACCGTACAAATCCATCCTTCGTCAAGTAGAGGCACACCCAGTGGGACTGATTTGTTTAGTCCTTAAAATCAAATATTTTTTGAAACAAAGCTAAAATTTATTGGTGCTTTACGATGATCATCGGGTTGATTTGATGTGAAAATCCATATAAGCTCTTAAGTCCTTCGAATCAAGGGGCAATTTCGAGAATTGAAGTTTCGAGAGATACATCTCCTCGAAGGGGCAATCATCCCTCGAGCACCATTCTACTACTCAAAGTATTCGAGAAGATGTATCTCGACTTTCTTCTACTCAACTACTACCTTCTCGTAATCGAGGTAACACCTTCTCGAATAATCAATTTATTTCGAGATCGAAGTACTTCTTAAATCTCAAACCTTTTCTAATATACTTCTCAAATTTAAGTTTATCTACTACTGGTATCATTAGCATATTATTATTATCATATTACAATATCTCTTTTAAGAATGATCAAAGGAATCTTTCCAGAAACCAAATCTCTAGGGAAAATTCCCATCACCCTGCAATGAGGAAAATTACCTCGGGGTTGCTTTCAACGAGGAAAACGTACTCGGGACACAAACTGGAAAATATCCTAGGGGCAAGGAACTTGAGGGATCATCCTAACAACCTCTGCTTGAACTGATATTACTCATAATCATCCTATTATTATTTGTCATTACATTATTGCATTATATATCGCATCTCGAACATCCAAATACATAGGGTTCCTCCCTTCAAATAAAAAAAATCCAGGCGCCATCCTCCCAATTTGGCATCTAGGCGCCATCCTCCCAATTCGGCATCTACAGGCTTCCCCCTCCTAATCAGGAATTCACTAACACAAAGACCTCATCGAGGCATTCTACTCTCTTTATCTTGTATAGGTGACACCCGAAAATGAAAGAGTTCGAGAACTGAGACAACACCACAAAATTCGAGGAGATATTAACACTCGTAGCAACCCATATTCTTCTCATCAAGTCCCGAGAATATGGCTTGCTAGGGGCACTTGACGAGTCATAAATTAACCCCAGGCCTATTAGGCCTAGGATTAGGTTACTCAGAGATTAAGCCACCGTCTAAACCTATTCTGCTAGGGTTTCAGGAGACAGGTAAGACTACCTCTATGTAAAGAGGTGGTGCATCTCCCATAATCGATATCTTCTACGTATCTTCTAGACTTTCAACACACGACACACATACCTCTCTCTATATTCTCTCTATTCTTTTATTGACTTAAGCATCAGAGAGTCTACTCTCGGAAGACATCCGAGGCTCTGTCTTGCAGGTTTTAGGCCGTCCGCCGCCGCCTAGATCATCGTCACCGCTCGTGCTAAGGCACCGTACAAATCCATGGTTCGTCAATGAACATAACTCCATCCAGCTGCTCGCTTTCTTTACCGAAATCCTCTTTCAGTAAAAATCTTTTGTCCTCTCTTTTTTAAAACTGTTTCAAATTTAATCCCATATTTTAAAACTGCAGTTTTTGTGTTTGATCAATTTAGTGCAAGAAATTAAAAAGATCTTTTTTGTCAATGCAGTGAACTGATTTTGGACGTTGGTGGGTCAGATAACTTCAATTAATCACCGTTGGTAGGGCCTTCAAATAGTGTGTCACAATCGATTTATCCAACCCGAATATATATAGATATTATTTGTAATACGATAATATCTAAATATTACCGTTGCAGTTGTTCCTCGCAAATAGTATCGAAAGATAGATGTTGCAATCGTCTTCGAATTTTTCTAGATTGTGATAGTAAGGTTGCAAAAAGTTCATCGTACGAACTGGAAAATAACATTACTTGTCGACATTAATTAGTTTTGTAATTCTTCTTTTGCTTTATATGAAGTGTAGATCCGATAAGTTGGAATAAAAGGGTAGACAATAGGAAGAGAGAAATGGCTAAACCTAAATTTCGAGATGAAATAGCACGAGGAGAGAAATTAATTAATATACTAGTGAATGTCCGGGTGTCGACTGTATTTTTAAATTGATTAAATAAAAAATACGAATCATTCTTAAAAGAATAAAAAAAATTAGAAGAATAAAAAATCGATTGAAAGGACAGAAAGTGAGTTATTACACATAAATCTATACCCAGAATTACAACATTTAATTTATAACAGTTAACTTATGCCCGGGTTTACATAAATCATAAACCAATATCTACAATAGAAGAATAAAAAAAAAATCATCCTTAAAAAATCAAATTTTTTTCATGACAGATTATTTTTACTCTGTTGTAGAGAGAGATGGATTGATAATTGATGTCAGATTTTAAGTAATTGATTTAAAGGCCCGGGTGTGAGAGAGGAACGGAATGGAAGAGATTCTTTGAAATTGGGGATTGAGAAGACATAACTGGTGTTTCACTTGATTTAAGGAGATTTCCTTACATTTGATTTTAACAACTAAATATTGTTGTTTCAAAGAATTAGTATATACCTATAATTAAGATATTTTTATGTAGTAATAATGAAGGGATTTATGTATTTATCTATTCTATCTTTTTTTTCTGATTAGTTAAAATGCCACGTGTTAAAAATGATTTTGTACTGAAAATAACTTTTAAAGGAAAAATTTTCATTGTGGTACTGACACGTGTCCTTTTTTATAGATAATATAAAGCAACAATTATTTCCAACAGATAGGGATAGCTTATTAGCCCATAATATTACTTCCATGCATCCATGTTGGCCCAACCGATCGTTATCCTTCTAATGTGTCGGTTGGGTTGTTTAAATTGCACTTGGAAGATGAAGAAAATTAAATCTTTGAGGCAGTTATTCAACTCATTAATGTTTATACTTTTGTTAATGGGTTAATCACTATTAACAGTGATGGATATATCTATAATAATACATAAAAAAAGGTCAAACGCAAAATAAAATCACTGAGGTAATCTAGCGATCTTTTTAAATTTGGTACCCTCTCTAACCCCTAGGAAATAAGAACCAAATTGTCGGCTTCACCCAAAGCCTGCCCAACTATCTCGCACATTTTGATCCCTGTGTAACACTTCTTTTCTTCTTTTGGGATATAGAATAAGATTAGGACTAATTATGCTTATTTTGGGTTGTATTTCTTTTTGAGTGGACAAGCTCTCCAAATAGTTTTTTCCTTTTTTGGAAAGTCTCAACATACTGTATTTGAATTCCCATTACAACATTATTTAAATTTTACTGGATGTCCAATGCTGGAGAGACAATTTTTTCTATTCACGAGAGTTTTGGGACATTTTCATCAATCCCAAGTTTTAGTCTCTTGATCGGTTGAATTTAGGGTAACAAAATGGACCTTTAAAATAAGACAGAGGAAGTAACATATCACTCATCGAAATGTGATGCTTGCCATAGTAAAAATGTAGCAAACTCTAAAAGATAAATAATTACTTACGAAAATATTTTTTTAGTGCACATTATTAGTTTAAGAAAAAACTTACGACAATATTTCTTTGAATAATATTACAAGCAGTCTTTTTAGCCTACAATTACTTACTGCATTCTTTATCTCCTCATCAACCTCCTTTTACGATTCTCTATATATATATATGAATGTCAGGAAGTACAACTAATCAGAGCAAAATTAGCAGAAAACAATAAATTCATCCAAGAACCATGAACATCTCCATCCATTACATATTCTTTCTGTGTATCACAATCTTGTTAAGCCTTTTCTCCTTGTCCCTTGGTGAGAGTAACGCAAAATTAATCACGTTGGCTATCATATTCATCATAAGTCATCTCACCATTTGTTGTAGACTAGTTGTACTTGTTTTAAATTGACAAGCAATTACTTTGTTATTTTAGGATGGAGGGAATAACTATATATGATTATCTTGTTAGCAGAATGATTGTTACTTGCTGTTGCATTGTTGTTTAGCATTTCTGTACCCGGTTGAAATTATATAATCTTCATTCTTTTTTATTTTAATTAATATTGAGTTCCAAATTACAGGCCAACTTCGTGCTTGCCGCCCTTATCCACCTTGCTCAAGTTGGAGCAACTTATGCCCTCCTGGTTTTTGTGGCAAGTTTCTCAGAATTAGTATTCTTCTTTTTTACATATTAACCTTTTTACCTTCATAATTTATTATTAATGGTTTGAACATACCATATACTCCCTCCGTCTTATAATTATTGTCCAGTTTGAATTTTCATTTCTAGTTCAAATTGTACTAAAAGTGAAATCTCAAACTGGACAATAATTTTGGGACAGAGGGAGTACATGACATAAAAATTAGATCTGAAAAAGTGATCATCAGAATTTAGTGATCGCGAGAATAAGTTACTATTGTCGATGCTGGATCGAAGGATTCCTCGGTTTTTGTTATCTAATTTACATTAGTAATTTCACAGGGAACAAAGTGGAATGGCCAGAGTTGATTGGAATGGATGGACAAAAAGCAAAAGCTATAGCACAAACGGAAAATCCAGCAGTTACAGTATTTCTTGTACGTAGTGATGCAATAATTACTTGGGATATATGTTGCAATCGTCTGCGCATTTTTGTAGACATTAACGGCAAGGTTTATGACACGCCTCTGGTGGGATAATAATTACACGGTAACATTTTATGGAGAAGATGATCAGCAATATTACCTCTTCATGCTCTCTTCACAATTTTAATTTGTTTAGCTATTAAATAAATTAGCTAAGAGGATTCAACAATCACACCTTTTGTACCTCATCTCGGACTAAACATGTTGCCAAAGTTAAGGAATTTTTACTTTAAAAAGAAAACGTTCATTGAATCTCTCTTATTCTAATCAAAACATTTTTACTTCGTTATGTGATATGTATAAATTCGAAAACATTTAGTAGAAGTGTTTTTTTTTTTTTTTTGGTCAATGGTAAGTAGAAATGATATTTATTTTCAGGTTATTTTTTATAAAAGCAGCAAAAAGCTACGTACTGTAAATCCTTTTTTTCTTTTTTTTGCTCCCGCAATTATCCTTCTAAATTAGTAATCATTCATCCACCCCAACTTATATTGCATATAGTTCGAATGGTGCATGCATATCTTTTTTTTGTTTTTTGGTAAGTAAGCAAATTAAGGCTACAAGCCAGGTAATGGGTTGATAACGAAGTGGTGTGTATATACACATCCCAATGGTGTGTATATATCATATGTGAAATTGGTTGATTACGAAGTGCTCGAAATTACTCCAAATATGTTAAAATAGTCGTGTTAATTTTGGCTCGAACGACGTTTGATCTTAAATTTATATGTCTCGAAGGAATTGTCAAGTTAGTGAATTAAAATATAAAGTGAATATGACCCTTGCTGGGGAAGAGATACGCTTATGCTGATCCTAAACATTGTGGTCACAAGTAAATTCATGCCGTATAATAGATGGGAACAAAGAACAAAGATAAATCAAAATGAACGCTCACTTATTTATTAAACTAAAGTAACTCCATTAAAGCATTAAAATGATAATAAAATCGCCTTACAAATAATGAAGATGATATCTCATCATCACCAGCCTAGCTAGCTCATCTCCAATCAAATAAAAATAAATATAAATAACAATTTCTTTTCCCATACATTGATTATTGCCATGAGAAATAACTAATTTGTTAAAGCATGGCTAACTGTTGAATATTGATCGGGTAAGCATATGCTTTGGACTTGGAACTATAGGCTTTCTTGGCAAGCAATATATTTGCAACCTCAGTTGGATGGAAAGCATCCCAAAAGATGTATTTTGTCCGATCATCACATGGTTGTTGAAGAGGCAAACAAGTTATTTGGCCATTGTTCTTTCCCACTCCACAGCATCCTTTGTCCACCACTTCAAACCCTAAATTATTTTCACATTTCAAGTGCAAGATTTAATCAGTTTCGTAGAAATACCATTATTGAAAAGTTCGTTAGTTCACGTCGCTAAATTCTTTCTGTTGCGAAAAAATAGTTCTAACAAAATTATTATTATTATTTACATCAAATTAAAAGTATAAAATTAATTACCATATGCTTTTGCATTGAGCACTAGATCTCTGCTGCTTTGGAAGGAATCAAGGTAGACGAACTTGGCACCAGGAAGTCCACCATTATTGAATCGATCAACCATTTTTTTCAGGCCTGAATTAAAAAGGCTGATAGCATTGTTGATTTCTTCGTTGCATTTGCTACTATTTCCTTCGTATCGAGCTAGCTCATATGGTATGCACCCGATTTGTCCAACCGCTGTAACTATAACTTTCCGGGCTCCCAAATTATACAAACCCTGAAATCATTGGGAAGAAACATTTTTATTTAGGTTAATGAAGCCATATCACTTTTAGCTCGCTCGATTCCAAAATGTTATTTTTATTTTTTTTTGGGTACTAAAAATGTTCAAAAAATAAGATTCTTAATTACCGTGAGTTGCTTTGTATAGTCCTGAATGAGTGAATCTGCATAAGCTTTGGGAGTGAAAGAAGATTTGGTTGAATAGAAATCAGTCATGAAGTAATTGTTGAGATAGTCATTGCTTCCCATTCCAGAATAGAATATGCATTTGTTTAGATAATTCCCAAGTGCCACATTGTCATCTCTGAATATCCTTCTCAAGATGTCCACTGTTGTACCGAATTTCTCAACTTGTTGGTTCATTGGTGTGTGATCCCCCTAATTTAACATTAATTAATAAACAGTTAATTAATTTATTGGAAAATTAAAAAAAATACCCCCAAATTAATGAAACTGGATTCCGGGGAATCGCTGGTTTTAAAATATCAAGTTGGGAATTAAGCGCATGATCATTTCAGCTAGTGAAAATACCAAGTTGTTTCCTGTTTCATCTCGGATTCCGGATGCGCCAGATGCAAAGTTTGCTCCCTGAAGTAATTGCCTTCCACGAGCCCTTGCAAACGGTGGAATATAGCTTTGGAATCCCAGAAGTTGAGCTACATCCAAATTAGTGAAAAATAATCATCGAAGATCACACAATGTTAAAACAATATTGATAAAATTATAACCCAAAAAACATAGTGTTTTGACGCAAAACATTAGGAATGATCACATGTAGCTAGTATCATTCCCATTCGTTTAGTTTGGTATTGTAGCGCGTTTTACTTTTGTTCCTCGTTTTAGAAAAAGTAATATAAATAAAGGGATTTAAATCATATGTAACAATGGGACGAATCATGACATTATTGGGGTAGAGTGAAATGATGATCGTGCCTAAAATATAGTAGTAGGTATATGTGTGTATACGTACCTAAAATGTCGACGAAAGTACGACCATTAGTAAACCTCCCATTGGCAGCCTGAGGGAAATCAAGGCCATAAGGCATGTAATTAGCCCTAGCCAATGTTAGCAAACCATTGTTATTTCCATTGTCAACCAAAGAATCACCAAATATGAAGAAACATGGCACTTGTTGCTGCTGCTGTTGTGGTTGGGAACAAGCTTTTGCTGTGAACCCCAACAAGCTGATAACAAAAACCCACAAAACATTCATCATTGTAAAGAATTATGTGTACTACTATACTACAAAAAGACTTGGAAAAGGAGACCCGAAAAACAAGATTCTTTATTTATTATGTTATGTAGCGATGTTCAATGTGATTGGCCCTAGAAATGATGACTCTTTATAGGGGAATTTTAATTTTTATTATGATTTTTTTAAAAAAAAAAATATTATTTTGGGGGGTTATAAGGGCCAATATATGATATGGGTTTTGTGCACCCGTGAAGGAAATGGCAAGAAATTTGCTTTTGAGCTGTATATCATGAGTTTTTCAATCGGATTGTTTGATGATAACATCTATCCCGGCGGTGATGAGAGGTGAAACCCTCGTGATATTCACATATATAGGTCCCTCTTCTATCTCGGACGACATGCTGTAGAAGACCGATCACATGAATTCTTTGATTTGACCTCCATAATTAATAAACTTGTAGGTATACTATATCAAATTTTGAAAGATTTCAAAATAATACTATCTCTGTTCTCAAAAAATAATTTATATTGAATTTTGAATATTATAATTAAAAAATATATAAATTTCAAAACTCGATATGAATTATTTTTTTAGAACGAAACTAATAAATTTCATTTGTTAGGTAGTGGCCTTTGCTTTCTCCTCTCTCAAGTTTGCAACTAGCTAGATAGATCACATGTTGAAATGTAAATGGTCCTGTAATGGAGACGGAGTCAGAAATGTTACTGGGGATGTGCACATTTATAAAGATAAAAGATGTGCGATCTCACCTTTCCATCTCGCATTGACTCCACTATACGCATGCAAATAGTTCCATCATCCGTAAATGTATTTAATTTATTATGAATATCATTATCATATCAATCATATTTTTTTCTCCCAATTTACTTGAAAAATGGTCATATTGGACTTAATCTTACGTTAGTAAATTATTTTGGGTTTCTTCCTCTTAAAGATCGACCTCTTATAATAACGGAATGTGCAACAATTGACCGAGTCTGCAATATAACTTAATAAAAAAATCCAGAGAAAGGAAACTGGGATAGTTTTCCAATTACCCCGTAAGACTGACAATTTTTTCTATTTTTAATTTATTAAAAAGGATTAAAAAAAAATTTATATATCCTATCCATGTATCACATAATAAAAGAGTTTTTTTAAAAGCCAAATGCAGAAAAATTAAACTAACTACATAAGTTAACCTTATCCTATCACCATCAGCTATCTTTTAACTTTGAACTAATTTACAAAACTGATAAATATGAAATCTTTGTGCTTCTGCTTCAATTAGATACCTAAAATATATTGACGTGATAAAATCAAAATCAAAGATGACTTTTCAATAAAACTAATCTCTTCCTGCATAGAATATTTCAATTTTATTATCAAAATTAAATCCCTATAGTTTAGGGATTACATATCAATTTTTGATATATATTATCTCTCCACATTCACCGTTATTAATTATTTCGGTTTTTGTTATCATCACAATAATTTCCTTTGCTCTTCCCTGCCACAATCAATTCTCCCTTCCCATGCGAAGATGAATCACTTGGTTAATTAGTCCATATTGCAAATTTTTCTTCTTCTCCTTCTTTTTTTTTTATTTTGAAATCTTGGTTAATTTTGAGGTGCGTGCAAGAAAGGTGAAAATTAATTTCATATGTAGCTGTCATTCAGTAAGAAGAAATACAAAAAGAGTATGTGTAATGGATCCTCATTGTTGTATTTCATATTTCGTCAGGGTTCACCCAGAAGAACAATTGATCAATTGTAAGGAGCATTCGCGGTGGATCGACATTTATGGTATGGTTTCTTTTATATATTATCACTTTTCGGGTTTTATAAAATCACTATTTAGATTTTTTTTCTGATGATTTCTTTTATATATTATCACTTTTTAGGTTTTAATTTTCTTGTTGGTAGTCTTGGCTTTAGAATTTTAACAAGCGGGAGAGCCTTGAAAAAGAGAGGTCTTTTTTTCTCCTTTTATTTGTAATATGGAGACAAAAATATTAAAGTGAATGTTTGGCCATTTTATATTTTATAGATGCAGGAAGAAAAATATAATTTGTCTTTTGAATTTTCCCGTCCATAACTACACCGGAGGGACCAGTTTTTTTATTTTTTTGGTCAATATACATCTTTGGGCTTATTAATTGACTACAAAGTTACGGGTAGTCATGGGGTTGACCGTCCTTATGGGAAATATCAAGGGTAATTTGTTCTTTGGACATAACTTGAAATATATTTTGTCCTTCTTCCCTTATTTAAAGCATAATTTCTCTACCCCGTACAACACACTAATAACACCTAGTATATAGTAATAGAACACGTAATTTTTTGTATTACTATATATGTTTCCTCCACCATACACTATTACACTAGATAAATCATCATCAAATGCAAATTTTACAAGATGATGAAGATATATAATAAATTATTGAGAAAATCTTCTATACAACTGTCCTACTATGTAGGATTATACAGCCAGACACATAAATAGGGTACGATCGTAATTTTACCGAAAAAGTTACCATAAAATTAGGGAGGCCATGTTATTTTCCAGTATAATGGGTGTGTTGCTGCACTAAAAAAGGGAATACACTTGTTATATGGAATAATTTTTCCGGATTTTCAGATTGGCGGTTATCATAGACGAGTTAAGTAGCTAGTGTGGTGAGTTAGAAGATTCTCGAAGTTGAAAAGGTATCATCCATGTACTTGACTGAAATGTTTCTCCACCATTCCCAGGCTAACCATCTCTGGTTATGAAGGCATCAACTAAAAATAAAAATAAAAATGAACAACGTACATATAAGGATGAACCAATAAAAGACAATAATAATATACATCAACAATAATAATAATAATAAAGCACATAGAACCCCTACATCCACCATACTGGAGATATGTTTAGAAAATTAACTACTTCTGTTTCAAAATAATTGTCTAGTTTAGAATTTTAATTTTAATACAATTTAAACTAAAAGTGAAAATGTACAAAATGTAAAAAAATCCAAAAGTGAGAATCCAAGCTAACAATTGAGTCTTTATTATATTAACATCTATGGCTATTGTCAGTTCGTTTGTTTTTGTTTTTGTTTTTTTTCCTTTTCCTTTTCTAGGTGGTAACTAATTAAGAAGAAGTTTTTGTTATATATAGAGGATACAAAAGTTGCAGCTTTCCTTTGATTTGTGTTAGGCATGAAGTGTTACATTTTCAACTCTGTAGTAGTTGTTTCTTCTGCAAATTGATTATGGCTCCAACCGTGTTATCAGAATTTAATCAAATGGGCTCGCGAAAGGTATTTATAAAATTTATTGCTGCCAAAATTTAACTAATTTTTCTGCCATATATAACTTTGCATCTTTATGTTTTGAGTTAATTACCAATTAGCAAAATGGGCACGTTCTGATCTTTTCCAAATTGTCAAATTTGGATTTTTTACTTTCAATACAAACTATACATATCATTTAGAAATGAAAAGAGAATTTTTCTTATATAACCGTTTTATGCATGTACTAATCATCAAATGTTATTACTTGAATCAACTTTTAGACTATAGCTTCATAAGTTGATTGTTGGGGTTCAAGTAAAAGAATGTACTGCGAAGTACGCCAAAAAAAATTTGTGAATATACAAAAGTTTTTTTTTTTTCCTGTATATCGGTTTTTAGACGATAAGGGCATTAAGATCCTTCAGGTTTTTTTTTTCTTACATTACATTAAAATGTAAGTTATTGCCTTAAAAAAAAAATGGGGTAAGACTCGTACATATACATATAGGAGTGTAGAAAGTATACCTAGTGTGCAAATTGCATCATAATCCCTTTTACCCTATTAAAGCAGAAGACATGAAGCTTATGTGGCAACTAAGTATGCATCTGTTTTGGCTCCAATGCACCATATTTCAAATTTCAGGAGTCTTTTTGCCACGTGTAAGTCTCTTTTAATTAGAAGTTATATAATTTTTTTAAAAAAAAACACATGTTTTACTACAAATAAGGATCAGTTACATTTTAAACGAATGGATATATTAATTCAAATTCAAATGTCCAATCGTATAGTTTTGCAGGCTTAATATAAACAAAAAATAAAATACCTAAATCCAGCAATTAAGAATAATGCCTTATAAACTAATTATTTATTATTCCCTTATAACCTCAGATTTATAGGTATATTTTTTTAAGCCCCAAATCATAGCATAAATGATATATACGCCAAATTAATTCCTCAAAAAATAGTAATTCAATTAGATTTTAATAAAATAGTAATTTAGAAGGGGCGTCCGGGCATCTGCCTGGGCCAAACATCTAGTATATATTAAAAGAAAGAAAAATAATCGACACGTGTCGCTCATTGCGACCATCAAGTCTCAACTAATACGTGTCATTTGCTAATTGGTTGATTATTAATTAGTTAAAAGTTTTTATAAACAGTTAATAAATTATTTATTACTCCCTCCGTCCCACAAAAATAATGCAATTTAATAAAAAATCTTGTCCTAAAAAAATAGTCCAGTTTAACAAAAGTCAAAATTCATTGAATTGAAATGACTTAAATATCCAAAAGAGTAGTGGTATGAAAACCAAGGTCCGCTTTCTTTGATTTTCATTTTTTTTTAGTTTTCTCTTATTTTTTCAAATGATTATATCTTTTAATACATGAATAATTAAAAGATGTGTTATATATCAAATTAATCTACGTAACAAGATCTTTCCATCAAGATCCATTGTCAATATTTTTTAAGATAAAAATTTTGATCAAATTTAAGTTGTAAAATAAATGTATATGTAGTTAACTTTTATAGAAATAACTAGAAGGGGCATTAGTGGAAGTTAGGGGAATGAAATGAGTTGTACATTTGGTGTGTTGACCAAATTAAAAAAGTTGTACAGTTTCAAACTAGATTATTTTTGTGGAACGGAGGGAGTATTTAAGATTCTTACAGATATTACAAATTCCTGATTGTGAGCTTGAAAATGAATATTTTTGAAAATTGCTAAGAAACCCCCGACTTCATAAGTTCTTTCATTTACGAGTTTAAACTTTCAACCTATTATCATTTTGGCCCTTAAAGTTCTATTTGTGTGCTATTTAGTTTTCAAGTTTATCGATTTTACACTTTCAAGGATGATTAATTGTGTCTCATATTTTATTAGAACTACATTTAATCCCCAAAGTCCACTTGCCTATAAAAATAGACCATATGTATCTAGACATAATTTACGCATTTTTCAAATACATTTTTTAAACCAAACATAACATTAGTTAGTGGTGACAATTTTTATTATACAACTTTTGAAAATCTTTGTTGTAATATTTTGTACCAGATCTTACAAATATACCTTTCATAAATAATATCAATACCTCTCATTTTGATCTAAAACTGATTAATCAAAAAAATATTACTATTTTAAGAAATATTAATAAATACATTTTTTTAAGAGAATAAGAACGGTATATTTGTAACTACATTATCTAATCAATTCTTTTGAAATATAAATTTTCAACATTGACAAAGCTGCGCAAAGTGCGGTACACACGCTAATTTGAACAACATGAAGGATAGCAATTCAAAACTGGGGAAGGGAAAATGTTGGAAATGGTGATCGAATACATATTGTTTGTCAGCGAATGCTCCTTCGGCTAAAAATGTACATATCGAGTTTTAAGTTTACAATAAAATAGTACAATTATACATATTGAGTTTTAAGTTTATAATAAAATAGTACAAATTTTAAAATTCAATTTAAATTATTTTTTAACTAAACCACAGAAATCGTACTTTGGGTAACAAATCATTTTTGTCCCAAACATTTCAAAACACAATTTCCGTTTCGTTTTGTCTAAAAATACAATTTTTCGTCTATTTACGTCAAAACAAATTTGACCTTCAAAATATAGATTATTTCGTCTTTTAGCCTAACTTTTAGTTTTTTATTAATTACGCAATAAAATAATAATTAGTTCATAACAAATTTCATAAAAATATTTTAAATTAAAAAAAAAGAATTTTTTTTTACTTTTATTCAGTGGGGTATAAATTATTTTTTTAATTTTTTTGATATAATAAAATAGTAATAAAAAATTTAAGATCCAAAGAAATTAAAATTCAAAATTCAAAAATTGGACTCATGCTTAATAGACTTTTTATATTTAATAGTACATTACACTTCCGGTATCCCGTATCCAAAACAGTCACTTTAACTGATTTGGATTAGAAAAAAACTACTTCTATTTCGAAGGCATTCACACCATAAATGTTTCATCACTACTACATGTTCATGCTCAAAATGAAGTCTGGGTCGATCCTAACATTTAGTTGGCCTAAGGGCGAAATGAAAAAAATGCCCCTAAAAAAATTTGGAAACGTCTATTATATACAGCAACTAATAACAATCCATCACATACCTGCTATACAATGTTTATAGATGCACGTTTCTCTGTGTTGTATTAGCAATTTTTTTACAAGAAAGAATAGAAGTGATTGAAGTGAAAATTGATGGGTTAATTTTGATTCTTAAATAAGACTCAATACATGTATGTTAGAACAATTTTGGCTAGATTTCTTAAGATTTTTGCCCTTTTGATTATTAAACAACAATTAAATCGTATAGTATTAATAATTCTAATAAAGTTGGGCCTAAGATTTTGGCCTTTTTAATTATTAAACAAGAATTAAAACATACAATATTAATGATTCTCATAAAGTTGGTCCCCCTATAGAGCTGTATGAACCGATGTCATTGTGCTCAAGCATCGAATGCGTATACCAAATACATTTACACGTTTGTTTTATATATATATATATATATATATATATATATATATATTGGGAAACTTTATGGCTTCGGTTTACAAAACATCCCTATAATGATAGGATGATCTAACTCTATTTACAAAAATCTTCTCTTTTATACTAAATGGAGGCGTTGACAAAATATGATTTCCTTTCGAGTAGGAGAAACCAAATTTTGCCAAGGCATCCGCAACGACATTGAGATTCCGCCGCGCATGTTGGACAATTACCTGCCAATTGAAGTCTAATAGTAGTCTAATTCGACATAAAATATAACTATTAACAAATGAGGAGTCCTCGTTTGACGAAAAGACTATTTACACGTTTGTTTGTGTAACTTCAGTCTTTGGGACAAATATCATGAATTTCACCTCAAGCTCATGGTTTTACTTGGGCATTTTCACAGGCAGTTCTCTTTCTTATATAAAAAATATATATCAGACCCAAAACTATTAGCCTCATTTTTAACTGGCCTATATGGGGCTGTATCTTAAGGGCCATAATTGAATTTGAAGTGGGAGTAAAAAAATGGGTCTGTAACCTCAAAACCGATTTACGGGAGTGAAAGTTAGCTTTGGGCTATAAAGCTTTGGACAAGCTAAATTTTGAAAGCTCAACTATATCTCACTTAGTGGGCCTGTAAACCAAGCTTAAGCCCCTGTATAAAAAATAAAAATAAATAAATAAATAGTAGAAGAGGGGACTCTATATGAGAACTGAGAAGCACATATCATGACTGCAATTTAAAATAATACTCTCTCTTTCTCCAAAAAAAAAAAAATTTAAAATTCACATGAATTTTGAAATTATTACCAAAATAATTTTAATCTTAAAACTCAATATGATTTATTTTTTTTGGGACAGAATAAGTAAAATTTAGCGTTATTTATAATATAGCGGTGTCAAAAAAAAAGAAGTATACAAAATCAAATTTGCAGAAGGCAGAATCTTTAATGTTTCCAATTGTAATTTAGTGGTCGTGTTCATGAGCCACTTATGTATAGGTGGTCGAAGCTTCGTATGTTATTAGAGTTTGGCACAGTCATATTTGGAGTGTCCACTTGGATCCCTAAACATAATAATATTCTTTTAATCAAAAATGGTTGGAGTTTTAGTTTTTATGTTTATAAATTTTATGTAAAAAAATGAAAGGCTAAACTGAATAATAATTTTAGGATATAAAGAGTAACTAGATGTTTGGCTCAGGCAGATGCCCGGGCGCCCCTTCTAAATTACTATTTTATTAAAATCTAATTGAATTACTATTTTTTGAGGAATTAATTTGGCGTATATATCATTTATGCTATGATTTGGGACTTAAAAAAATATACCTATAAATCTGAGGTTATAAGGGAATAATAAATAATTAGTTTATAAGGCATTATTCTTAATTGCTGGATTTAGATATTTTTATTTTTTGTTTATATTAAGCCTGCAAAACTATACGATTGGACATTTGAATTTGAATTAATATATCCATTCGTTTGAAATGTAACTGATCTTTATTTGTAGTAAAACATGTGTTTTTTTTAAAAAAAAAAATTATATAACTTCTAATTAAAAGAGACTTACACGTGGCAAAAAGACTCCTGAAATCTGAAATATAGTGCATTGGAGCCAAAACAGATACATACTTAGTTGCCACATAAGTTTCATGTCTTCTGCTTTAATAGGGTAAAAGGGATGTTTATGATTATAACAATGAATTGGTCAAGGATCATATTAATCATTACTTAATCATTATGATCAAGTTTGTGTGGGTAACTGCATAATTCTCATCCTTCGACAATTGACCAAGAGTTTCCTCAACAACATTTTTGTTGCTCGTGACAATTTTTTTCCTTCCCCTAGATTGATCAAAAGAACTCAGCATCTTCAAACCACCCTGCCCTAAAAATGGCCCTTTGTGAAAATTTTCCTGGGGACGTGCACACAAAAATGACATACATAATGGTTTCGGTAACCGGAAACCAACCCTCGTGAACTGGAGCTCCTGGTTTGGTCAGTATGGTTTCCAAAATAGGTCTTTTTGAAAGCTATAAATACTACTAACAACATGTGAATCTAATGTCATATTTTCCCCGCATAATCTCAAAAAATAAATATGGACTAGAAACAGTAACTACTAACTCAATGACATGCACTAAATTTCAATCGCGCAATGAATGTCTTGGGAAAAAAAAAACACTTTCTAATTTTAATTATAACGGTCATTTGTCACAATTTGGATCACATAAAAAAATAAAATGATATAGGTAGACAATGTTCGGTAGTACTATATTTTATCAATGCTTCCGATCAACCGCATTGGTAGTCTAAGAGTAGATTGGCCATACTCACCCCACAAGTTAAGTTGTTGAGGGATGTTTTGAAACTATAACTTCCGACTTTTTAATTATATATTACTTTTGTCCCAAAAAAATTATTATACAGATTAAATTTTTAAATTTATACAATTTTTAGTACAAATTTCGAAACTAATGTGATTTTTTTTTCCCGGAACAGAAGAAATATTAAAAAAAATTGAAAATAATAGAGAAGATTGTCGATATTTACGAAACTGATAGGCCAAGTTTCACTTTTGTTTGCCTTCCACATAAAAAAAAATGGCCCACAAAAATATGGGCTGCCTATGGCAAACTCAGAAAAATCTTTTCATCATCCAAAGTCCAAACAAAATTGTGTCACACTACATTCATAAATCATAACCTTTGATCCTCTGCTTCAAAGTTCATTCATATAGTTCATACAACTTTTTTCTGAAAAAGTTCTGCATGAAATACAAACCGATAATGGTCCATGGATGTCAAATTGATGCAATTATCTCATCCAGGCAACTCGATTGGTTATTCTCTGTTAAAGATTAAACCCCTTTTTACTAACAATCACTTCCTTTTTCATCCTCTGGTAAGGTCCTACGTTAGTTCTTATCTTTCTCACCTTATGATGATGATGATGATGATCATAAAACACAGAGATGTATCAGTTTTGCCGTATAATGAACTGAGATGAATACTGGGTTTGTGCTTTTCTTTGTTTATATATAGAGATGGAAATGTAAGAGTCCAAATGGTCAACACTCACAGAACTTGGTTCATGAGGTTAAAGAGTAAGGAAGCAGAGTAATCTTTGATTGTTTGCAATTCTATATTTTGTGATTTCAAATGAATTTTTTTTCTGGGTTGATTGTTAATTTTGAATTCTGCAGAGGTGAAAGTTTTACGATGTATGATATTGCTGCGGCTGCTGCTGCCAATAAGGACAGAGTTGTTGCTGACTTAGTTTTTGAAGGCCAACTGCTTAGTGTTATTCCTACATCTATGAAGATGGTATGTATAATATGGTCCTGAATTTTGGCAACGCGAAATTTGATCTATACTTGTCTGCTTTTTTTTCCCTTTTGAGAGATTTCGAATTAGCCTCTGGCATTGAGTATAAATCCTTACTGAGAATTTCATTGTGGGAAGTAATCTTTGAAGAATGAATTGGTTAAAATTTGTTTCTTTTTTTGCAAGTAATAAAGATAGGCATTCGCAATCATGCATGTTAGGTTTACCCTTTCGAATTAGACAGTTCAAAAATTGGCCTTCTAGCGCTAGAATGGTTAGAAGGTTGGAGAAAATTGTGATTTCTGGTGCATAATCAAAGTTTACAACACAACGTGCTTTCAGATATGAACTTCTAACTTAATTAAATTATGTGTATACTGATATAGGAACAAACAGTTCTAGTGAAGAGCATATATAATCAAAGTCTGAATAAGCTGGTATGTTGATATAGGAACAAGACCATCTAGTGCTAAATGAATATGGTATTAATTTCTTTGCAGGAAAAGGGCAAGGCAACAGTGTCATCTGAATCTGGAAAAGTTCGAAGTTTAGGATTATGCAGTCGATGCATGAAAGAGAAGACGTTTACTGTCCTGTCATCCTTTCCTCATTCATCGCATGTAAGGCCTACATTTGGTGGATGTTTTTGGACTTGTTCAATCTGATCAATGTGTAATGTTATACCACACTTTTTTAGTGAAAAGCTCAATGGGATCTGTCCATGTTATTACTCAGGCTAAAACCACTGGTTATTTTCTACTTCTGGTTCCCCTGATAGCCTTTTGCATCAGATTCGTAATGGGAGCCTTACACAATAGAGTTGCTGAAGAATTTAAACATAATGTTAGCGAGTCAGATGATCCTCACCCTCGGTGTAAAAGGACAAGATGGAGATCTGCTCTACAAGAATTGAGGGATCCAGATGCTAATGCACTGGATACTGACTTATCAACTGATCATGATGTAAGTTTTCTAACAGAAGTTATGGAAGCCAAACCATCTTTTTTCAATTTCAATTCACTCAACTATTTCTTGGTACTTCTCGTTTCAAAACATTTCTGACTCTTCAAATGATCAAGTTCATGGTTTTCATTTGATGAACTTTCCTAGAACAATGGCATATCTGTCCGGCTGTCCCTTGTTTTCTTTTCGTACTTGCGCAAAGAAGTTCACATGTTTAGGCTTTTTCATTGAGGTGCTTTCTCTTTTTCAGATTATCAAACAACAGAATATGCACTTTATGCATCCATCAATTGGTTCACTTGTGTTTCAACTGATTTCCTTTTGTTTGATTATTCCTAGGATTTTGACCTAACAAGAAATTTTGGAAACTTCTTGCAGCATTCAGCAGATGATGAAGAGGAGATCAAACAAGACGACTTGTCTCATAATTACACCATGCTTGAAAGTGATTATGCAAAGTTCCTTTCAGAATGTGGAATCAGTAATTGTGGTTATTGGAGGGGAGGTTCTCCTAAGTAGGGGATACCCCCTTTTCTCTTTTACACTACATTTCCACAGTAAGCCTAATTTTGTAAGCCAAGTGTATAAATCTTTATTTTTTTTGAAAGAAACAAATTGGTGGGATTGAATGTACATAATTTGGTTCGTAATCAAGACTCGGTCAATGATTTGTAAATGAAATTTTAGTCCCATGTCTTCTTCAGGTTAAAAGAGCTACGCATATGAAATTGAAAGGCCTCATTCTCTCATCCCTTTCCGTGGTGGATACTTATACCATCTGGAGCAAGTTGTATGAATCTCATAATCAACGTTTTGTTTAAACAAACCAATGCTGATACTGTTCAAAACTTCCTCGCCAACTGTTATAAGCTCATTCAGAATTACACAAGGTTCAGTACAAGTAATTATGAATTCCAAAATGTACCAAAGACATTCATTTTACATAAAAATGGAAGTTAAACTTAAATCTGCTCTGAAATCATCGAACTTTTCGGACTTTCTCTTCTTGTCCTAATCCAAGCGATTTCTGGGCATCAGCAATACCTTCAGGATCTGTCAACAAGAAATAGTTAATGGGTCGAAAAGGAGAAAAGTAGAAACAGCTGAAACAAATTTTGGTACATATTAGTAGCACTGTTGATTAACTAAAGCTACAAATAGCATAAGGGAAACACCAGCTCTAGCAGAAAAGTGGAGACCATGTAGAAGCTTCTTTGGCTCAAACACATAATGATATACGTCTGAATTCCAAGGTTCAACTTCTCAACTTATGCAGCAAGAAATATAAAATGGCAAGACTTTGCAGGTCGTATTTATGAATTGCATCAACATGTGAGGCCAGAAACCACATTATAAGTCACCACACACAGATATCCCAATTTTACTTTCAAGTCTGTTTTTCCAGCACCACCTAAAAGTAACCTAGTTCACGTGTCTCTGTTTTTCATATTAGTATTCCTTAGGGTGGCAAATGCGGAAAGTTTTTTACCTAGCCAAACTTTGTACAATTAGAAAAGACAAGAGAAAAGGCATAAAATGATAAGCAACAATTTATGATGTTTCAATCTATACATATGCTTGGAGCTCATATCTCGTGTCTCATGTTACAGAAAGCAAACTCACCAAAAAATTGCGTAAAAATTCTCGTGAAGAAATTCAAGTTCCGCGAAACATTGTATGCCATTGCAGGTGGAAGTGGTTTAACAACGGTGTCCAAGCTAAAGACACGCTGAAGAAACTGCAAGCAACATGGTAAAAAAGTTATACTTCAGAAAATTAGGAACGTTTCAAACCCAGAAGATTAAAATAGAACTTTCTTCCACATGTAATGGACATATTCAATCATTTATTTAACTGCACACACTAATAGAAGTATCCTGTAACTACATATAGTTTGCAACAAAAAGTACAAGCCTTTCCTTTGAAACGGAATCCAGACAAGAAGAACCATTCCTCCATTCCTAAGTTCTAGACCAATGCTCAAAACCAAGTTGTGAAGCTGTTGCAATAATTACTATGCGTGATGTAGACATAATTACTGTGTAACTGATCATCTCCTCACAATTCAGTTGGCCGTTCAGCCAGCAAGAAGAACCAATAAAACAACAAACTTATACTCCCATGAGTTCATCCAAGTTCTTCTCCAACAAAATCATTCAGTTGTATTTTCCGATTCAAAACCTTTAATTCTCCCCTGAACAACATGAACTAACAACAATGCTATCAATACATCAACCAAGGAAATTCTAAACACGAGCAATAAATCTATAAGGGGTCATCAAAAAGGAGACAAAAAGCTTCACCAATTACGAACTGGTTCCATTCAAACATCTCATAAAACCACGAAATTCATCACGCACTCCATCTGTTTACGCTTATGCTTAACAGAAAAACAGAAAGAAAATAACCTGGAAATTACGCTGGAAGCTGTAACGGAACTCCGGGTCAATCTCAAACAGAGAATCATCCTCTTCATCAACGTAGGCGCCGTTCTTGCCAGACTTCTTCTTCCCTGGGACGTGCATGGTGGGAGTTGAACCCGGCTGATTGGTTACTTTAAGCTTAGCGTCCTTGAATTTCTGGGCTTCGGACTCATCCGGGTCAACCCTCCATGGCGCTGACGCCAGCAATTCCTTCTTGCTCTTCCCCATTTCGAAGAATTCCTGTACGGGTTTTAGCTGAAGGACTGAATACAATGGAGGCAAAATGGTTTTGCAGAGTTGCGGAGAAAAAGAAATATTTAGCGGAGCGGATAGGATAGTACTACGTCGTTTTCTGCGTTAACTTCCATCGGCGTGGTTGGATTTGGATCGTTGGATACGGGATTTTTGACTTCTAGTGGATCTCTTTTTTCCCCCCCAATTTTGCTAATTAGGTCCACCTCAATTTGTGAAAAACTAGTAATTGAAGTTAATAACTATGAAAATTACAAAAACCTCCTTTGATCAGCCAAATGTTTACAAGTTATGATTTTATATGATTTTAGAAAGGGAAAAATTGGCCGATCTACCTAAACGTTGACATGCGTAGTCAATTCTACCCTATTTTTTTCGATTAGCATATATTACCCTAACTTATCCAACCGTTAGCCGATTTTGTCCAATTGGCCAATTTCCGTTTAAATTAACGGAATTCTGTTAGTTTTAATTACAAAAAATACCTAATAATTTTTAAAATTATAAAAATGACCCCAAAAATTTGTAAAAATAACCAAACAGTTTTTTCACTTTTTATTTAATTTTTTCTGTTTTCTATTTCTTTTCACTATTTATCATAACTATAAAAATATATTATATAATCTTTTTTAAAAAAAGCTATTTATTTTTAAAACACTATTGTGCAAATTTATAGCTATGCATATTCGTAACTCATGGTTGGTTTACATAAACATATTAATTTTTTAATAATATGGTTAAACAGTAATGATATTATTTTTTTAATCTATTTATTTAATCTAAAAAATAAGATTATTTAACTAAACCTAATTTTGCACAAAAAATAAAACATTTAGCATAGATTAAATTTTTTTATTGGTATACTTTAATGTATATTTACAATATAATTCAACAGAATTTAGATTGTATTGTAAATTAAAAAGCAATTAAACTAAAATATACATTTTCTTTAAAAGGCCAAGTACAAACAGAAAGTAAAAATAAAATGGTACAAAATATTTTATAAAAAATATGTATATTTATCATTGCGAGAGTTTAACATTTCATGATAATTTTTTTGAGATATTAACATCTAACTTTAGCAGGAAATTTTTTTTTTAATAATAATAAAAAAAATCTGCTCCAGTACTAGACTCCACCTTTAAAAAAAAAAAAAAGATCGCCCTAGTGAGAATTGAGGCCTCGAACACAGTAATAATCATCTCCCATCTTAAATCACCTGACCATCCAATTCAACCCTCTTACCTTTAGTAAACCATGCATAAATGTGGATAAAATCACTTTCCCGGTTAAAAATCCTTGGTAAGAATTAATCTTATATCTACTATCATGAAGCTCAACACCCTAAACACTAGATTGTATACTACATTTTAGTTTAGTAATTTTTTGAATTGGATAATACAATCTATTGTTTGTTTATTCAATTTGTAATAAATTAAAATGTACTAAAATATTAATTTTTAATCTATGCTAAATGTTTTATTTTTTTTTGTAAAAAATTGGTTTTTAGTCAAAAAATATTATTCTTTAAATTGATAGAAGGATTTAAAAAACTAAGATCATTATTGTCAAGTTATATTATTAAAAAATTAATATGTTTCTGTAAATCAACCATGAGTTACAAATATACATATCTATAAATTTGCACAGTAGTGTTTAAAAATAAATATTTTTTTTAAAAGATCATATAATATATTTTTATAAATATGAGAAATAATAAAAATAAATAGAAAACAGAAAAAATTAAATAAAAAGTGTAAAAAGACTGTTTGGTTATTTTTACAAACTTTTAGGGTCGTTTTTATAATTTTCAAAACTATTAAAGTATTTTTTGTAATTAAAACTAATAGAATTTCGTTAATTTAAATGAAAATTGGCCAATTGGACAAAATCGGCTAACGGTTGGATAGCTTAGGGTAATATTGGCTAATCGAAAAAGAATAGGGCAGAATTGACAACGTATGTCAACCTTTGGGTAGATCGGCCAATTTTTCTTTTTAGATAGTCTGTATTCTGCAATATCAATAATCTTTTTTGGAATTCATTTACAAAAAAAATATATCAGAAATTATTATTATTACGTCTTCAAGACCAAAACTCAGGCTATACAAAATTAAAAATGAAAATTTCATTATGAACAGACACAATATCAATGATCACAAATAAATAGGAGTAATTTTATTCGAAAACAAGGACTTTTAGGACCGATCATACAAATTAAGTGAAACCGCCAACTTTGAAAATGGAGGCTATAACTTGTCTACATGATTTACAAAGAGCCAATAATATCATACTTCTAATAGAAATTGAAATCAACAGATACTGCAAATTTTTATCACGAAATTAGACACAAATTTGTCTCTAAGAGTAACTGAAGAAGTAATAATTTCCTTGATCCTCATTTTACATCTATAGGTTTTGAAATACAATCCTTATAACTAACCAATGCTGGCCTACAATCACAATGTATCGGAACGTTCAAGCATTTGAAACAATTTCACCTTCAAATTCAAACTAAACTTCCCATGTGATTTTCACAATTCCCAATTAGTTTATCCCCTTGTAATTTCTTCTTTTTTTTTTCACCACCCATTACCTCCCTTATGCTAGGACTACTATAAAGTTGACATTAAAAGAAAACGAAAAACGTTTTTGTATCAATTATAAGAGTGACAAAAGCAAAAGTTCATTTCCTTTGACCCTCCATGATGGAAATACTACAGATTTAATGATTAGAGACATGTTAGGAAATACTACCCAACTTTCGTTTGAGATGTAACTATATAAAAATAAAAATTAAAAATTAAAAAAAAAAGATGATGGGAATACTTTGCGAATGAAACTTTTTGCAGTTCCTCCTTATTTTAATTTCAAAGTCAATATTTTTAAATAAAAATGAGATAGAAGAAATATAAAAATAAGAGAGAAGAACTCTTAAAACGAGATGCAGGAAGTACTGGTACTAAAAACAGTGCAAATATCATTAGCTGACCGATGAATCTTGGAAATCAACCCTTCCCAGATCAATTTAAAATGAAATAAACTAGCAAAAATATCAACAATATTTAGCAATCAATGAAGGCACACAGAATTCCATAGCCAGTCTGCCAAAGTTTATCAATAATATAATGTCTCTAAAAATTAGTCTCTGCGTTAGTAAGAACTTAAATTAGCAACCATGCATATCAGTGGCAATATTTTTTATTTTTTTGGGTGGGAAGGAAAGAGGCAGGTGGGAGTAAATTGACCTAATAATTGTTGCTTAGCTTTAAAAACAAGACAAGATGTCGTCTTGTCAGATTTGGTAAAGGCAGGTGGAGTGCCAACTCTTCAACAGTTTAACCAAATCTTACAACAAACCCATAGTCATGATATACACCATGCGCGTAAACCCAAAGAAAAAAAAAATAAACCAAGAAGAAGAAGAAGAAAAGCAATGTGAACATTAACCTATAGTCATTAGTTTTCAAAAGTGTAATTTATTAATAGTTTTCACTTTTCAATAATAAACTGTTTATAATTGGTTAATTGTACTCTATACGAGATTAATTACCATATTTCGATTAGGAGATCCAGATTTAAGATTAACTAATAAAATATATACCATGAACATAACGACTTCCAGAGACAGGAAAGGAAAAAATCGAGCATGAAACGATCAGTACAGATTCCTAAAGAAATGAAAATCGCATTCATCGTGCTAACTCTAATTGAAACTTAAAAAAGGCCACCAAAGAAGAAGAAGAAGAAGAAGAAGAATTCATGTTGACATAATAAAATTTAAAAAGAAAAAAAAAATCAAACAAATTGAAGTCCCCCCAAAATCAATCAAACATTATGAAAAAACACATAAAATGTAATATAGATCAAGGATTTAAACCAAGAAGTTCCCTTATTAATTTAATTATCTCCAAAAGAAAATAAAAAAATTCTGTTAACAAAAGAATTGGAAGAGAAGAAGATGGAGACATGATCTTAATAAGCTAAGGACAAAATGGTCTACCTAAACGAGCTCTATGACTTGGAATGGTGAAATGCCTAATCCTTCCTTCTTGTTCTCTAAAATAACCTTCACACAAAAACGCCATTGAGAATTTGTCCTCAATGTTCCGATCAACATCATGAACAAACACATCAGTCTCACCGCTTTCTCTATTTCTAGCCATCAACCCGGCGGTGTAAATCGCCGCCATTCTCCCCGGAGCTTCGTCGTGCCACCCGGTCGGAGCATCCACCATGATCAAGTCCCACTCCACATCGTAAACCTCATTAGGCAAACTCTTGAGCGCGAGCCTACATTTCGAAAACCTCGGATCGCCGACGACTTTGCACTCTTCATCCTTCATGTTGGCTTCCAAAAGCTCGTCCGCTTGTGTGACTTTCGTGTCGTAAACAACGTGGTAAGCTTCCAAGTTAGGTAACTTACTCTTGACTTGTTCTATCCATGAGTTGTCCTCTTCAACAAACACCGTCCGGCCGCCATAGTTGAGGGACGTCCACATTAGGCTGTCGTGCCCTAACCCGAAAACCAAGAAGTTGCAAGGTGATTTCTTTTCCAAAACCCTAAGGGAAACTGAGATCTCATTGAAGGTTTGTTGTGGGGTGATGTTCATGGTTGCATAGTGGACTAATGCGTTTGCTAGTGAAGGTGGAATTTTGTTGCATTTGGGGCCTAATGATGATGATTCAGATTCACAACTTGTTTTGGGATTTGTTTGGTTTTCTTGGGAGAAAATATAATTTGTTGATGATGATGATGATGATATGATTCTTGATGAGTATAGAGATGATAGAAGAGATGGTGATACATTTGATCTGAAACATAAGAACAGAAGGAAAAGAATGAATGAACCGATTAGAATGTGCTTGAGGCTGATGATATTGGAGGATTGAGAATTGGATCTCATGATGTTTGGCTTCTCAATCCTCTCTTCTTTTTTTTTTTCCTGGCCAATTTGGATTGGGAAGAAGAAGAAGAAGGGAAAAGAGATGTAGATAAGTTGTTTTATAGTATATGTCAATGGGGCTGTTGGATTTTATTTTGGAGTTTCTTTTGGTTATGAAGTTAAAAGCAGTTTGATACTCGTGGAATCATAAAAAATGGTTGGTGGAGTGGACTATTAATGTTCATCATATTCAAAATAATAACAATCATTAGGTAATACAAAAATTTAATTGGCTTCCAAATTTTGGATGTATATTTTAGATATTGTTGTGTTAAATTCGATTTAAAGCATTGTTTATATTTGTCACAGAGAAATATAAACAAAAGGTTGTACACTACTCAACAAAATTTGCCACTTATTTTCCAACAGCGAAAATAGGAGCGACGTTAAATGTAAAAAACAGTTGATAAAGAGTTAGCAAAACGGGGGAAAAAAAAAAGATTTGGTTAACGAAAACGAGAATTATCATATAATACTACTACTATTGTTAACAATATTTTATTTGGTGTTTTATAGTAGACATCATTGACTCGGTTAGTACTAAACTATGCTTAACTTTAAAGCAACAGGTGACCAAGTACTATGACTGAAAAAGTAGTAATATCCTAAGTTAATTTTAATGATTGGAGTTGGTTGCAAACTTCTGATTGTTACACCTCGAGCCATTATTTTTCTTATTTAGAAAATACACAAAATTTGTTTATGATTTTTAGAAATTTTCATTAAGAAAAATGTACCGCTAAATATGGGGAAAAAAGGATTAGGAGAAAAAAAGAGTAGACACTCCACCTGCCTACTAAGGATTAAAAAAAACACAATCTCATTTGACTCAAAAACAGTATCATTAAAAGTTATGACATTTTGGCAGTAGGCCACAGATACCTATGTTCCACACTTTTCAATAAAATATTTTGGTGGATAAAAATTAGTAAAAAGAACAGTTCATTGATGGCATTGCTTCAAATTCACATGTAGCTTGTGCTGCCTCCATTTCAAAATGAAAGTCACTTTACATTTTATACGTAAATTAAAAAAACAATCATTCAATAATTAATATTTGTGCTAAATATTTATTGTATCACTTATTAATTACATTGAAACAATAAACAAGACTAAATTAAATTAGATTGACATCATTTGATTTACCCCTCATTAAAACGACTTACATTGTGACATCATTCTCTCCCGCTGGCAACAGAAACGACTACAGCCTACAAGCCACTTTGTGGCTATAAATTCTGCATCTGATAATAATGGTTATCTAAAAGGGGCAAGTTAATCCGGTAAATACAGCTACATAAGAGACATCAAAATAAATGGTATACCATGAAACGAATGTGTTGTGAATCAAGTACTCCATGTGTGAAACTCCCGCACAAACCGTGTTCCGACTGAATGGATACCATCGGATAACACTGATTTCACAAATCGAATCATACTCAATGACGGAGTCAGGAAATCAAGTAAGGGTGTAAAAAAAAAAATTTAAAATTAATAATGAGTAAAAAAATCAATATAGAACTGCGAAAATTATACAATGTATTCTATTAAAAGTTTAAGATATGTTTACTAATTAGAAAAGTGTGAGCAGTTGTGGCTGCACCTCTCCATCTCTCTTAGCTCCGTTCAACAAAACAATTTCTACTAAAATAATTTTTAATGTCTAAAACAAATTTAAAATTAAAAGAGAAAATTACTACGTACCTATCATCAAAATACTATACTTCTCATGGTTGTACAACCCTGGTTCCAAAAAAAATAAAAAATAAAAAACTGTACTTCTCATGAAACTTAGGTTTGCAAGAAGTTCCAAATTCAAAGAAGAGGACTCATCTTTTGGAAACCATAAAACAATCCAATTAAATATGAATTTTTGCCTGAGGAGAAGGGATAAAGAAATAGCATGTCGATTTTGGAGAAGAAAAAAACTACAGTCTCTGAGAAGAAACTCATAGGAAAAGAAAATTTTATTAGAGAACCCTGATAAGAACTATAGCTGCACCAAGATGTTCATATATATTTTCAAAATTGCTTATTTGCGTCAAAGGAATTGGAATTTGGAGATTCTTTTCATGTACTAACTAAGAACTACAGCTGCACCAAGATGTTCATATATATTTTCAAAATTGCTTATTTGCATCAGAGGATTTGGAATTTGGAGATTCTTTTCATGTACTAACTAAGATGTTTTTAGCGGTGTTTTTTTGGCAAATTATCTGGTACACCCGGGGGCACCGTGTACCCTCCTGCGCGTGTACTTTACTCTCTTAGAATAGCGTGAGTTCACTAGATAATTCATCCTTCTTTTTCTTTTTTTTTTTTAAACGCGGCATATATAAATTAACGAATTCATTCAAATTGGATATTGGATAACCAGTGTGCACACTATGGATAACCAGCTATACACTTTGGACAGTCAGTGTTCACCATGTGGATAATCAGTGTTGGCACTATGGATAACCAGTTACACACAGCTGGATAACCATTATTAACCTATTGGATAACCAGTATGGACATAGTGGATAACCAGGGTGTACATTATGGATAACCAGTTACACACAGCTGGATAACCAGTTGCCAAATTTCACTTTTTTCCTTTTATATTTTTCTTGGATATCCTTGTCCGTATTTTTTACACTGGTTATCTAGCTGCCCCTCATTCATTTTTTGTTCTCCATCATTTGGCAAACTTCCCCTCATTCAATTAAATACTATTTATGAAATTTACCATGTTCGGCGTGGGGGCGGCACAGCCGCAAAAGGCGGCGCAGTCGGGTCCTTTAGTTTATCACAGGGGGATTTATACAAGTAATTTGTGTCCTCTCTTAACGCAATAACAAACTCTCCTTACACACACACGAAAAAAGGATTACCTTAGCTACATTGGCGTGTTCGGCGGGGCGGCGCAGCCGGGGCAGGTTGGTGACCTGCGATTCCGGTAGCCGCGGGAGTCGTTTAGTTTATCAGGGGGAAGGGGCGAAGCCTCCCAATGAACTTGCCGTTTGGATAGCCATTTTCTTATGGATATTTTCTTTTGTTCTGTCTTTTTGGAAGCCCTTTCTGAATCCTTGTTTTGTTATGTCCACATGGTGGATAGGCATTGGTTACATATGGATAAGCAGTATTGAGGTTTTGGATAACAAGTATAAACTCATGGATAATCAGGTTAAAGACTGTACTTGTATTTTTTTTTTACTAGATAATCACTATAAAACATTCGGATAATCAAGTGTAACAAGTTGGATAATTAGTACAAAGATCCTGGATAACCATTACAAACGGTTGGATATTGCTGCATATTGGCTGGATAACCAGTACAAAAGTCCTGAATAATCAATACAGAGCATTGGATAATCAGCAAAGAAATATTGGATAAGCAGGATAACATCATAGGATAAGCAGTTTAATAAAGAAGTAGAAAGACCAAGAAATTGGGACACTCAGTTTTTGTTGTTTGGGAATTGTGGATAATCAATTTACACCTTCTGGATAACCAGTTTACAACTTGTGGATAACCAGTTTACAAATTGTGGATAATCAGTTTACATCTTCTGGATAACCAGTTTACAACTTGTGGATAATCAGTATGAAATGGGTGGATAACCAGCATTTAATGTAAAGGTGAAAAATGTTAAGCGCGTGTAACGCGTGTATTTGGTGGGGGTATACGGTATACCCGGGTGCACTGGATACGGACTCGTTTTCTTGACCCAAAAATCACAACGAAATCTTCGGATCCAATTTCTAAAATTTTTGGGCATCAAAAAAAAAAAAAAAAAAAACAGGAATGCGTTTCAAAGAGAGGAAATGAAATAGTGAATTTATTTTATTATTTCTTGACTGGGGAACAAAAAATATCATGGAATCTCTAGTAGTGGTGAAAGATTAAGGTCTTTATATTTTTAAGATTGGGCTAGTTTTGTCTTTTCACTTCACATTTGTTTTGTTCTCTGTTTCATAAAATTTAATTGAGGTATGAAATCTGAAGTTTGGAGACTAAATCATAAGTGTTGTACTTATTAAGTTTGTGTTTTTAGATAAAAATTGAAATCTGAAAACTGAAAAAAAAAAAAATGAAGTCTGAACATTAAAATCTGAATTCATTAGGATGTTAAGATCTTGATTCATAATTTGGTCTAAAAAATAAGCTATATGTATGAAATCATGATAATAAAAATAATAATATTATTATGAATGTAGTAAAACTAATATAGGTGTAAAAAATTTCAATTTTTAAATGCTTTGGACAAATGAAGTTATTGATTTATTGTAATAATTAATATATGTGTAAAAATAAATAAATTGTTATCATGAATAAAAATATTGCATATGCATGAAATGATAGCATTATGTATATCTTAAGAAAAAGTTGAAGAATACAAATATTATACGACTAAAAGTAAATGAGACCGTCATCATAAGAAATAAAAATATTGCATGTCGCAAAATGGAAGTATTTTATAACTACACGGAAAAAAAATACAATAATATAGTAATCATCAGAATACAAACTCAAGGAGGGCTTTAAAGATGCATTGTTAATTTGTGAGAATAATTCTTGTTCCGTCATTTTCTCATATATAGGCGTAGTTAATTCCAATTATATTTCTTGCTGAGACAATTGCATTAATTTCTTTTTATGAGAATAAATGAAACAATTACAACTAAGATTTTGTCGTAGGTGCCATCTTAAAAATCATTTTTATATTCTCTCTTCAGTTTCTTTATTATATATAGTTATAGATTATATCTTTTAACATATCCTTACCGTAAATCTATAGTTATTATGGAGTTTATTCATATTTTAATTTTTGTATACTCATATGTCCCAAAATTATTGTCCAATTTAAATTTTTATTTTTAGTTCAATTTGTTCTAGAACTTAACAAACTGGACAATAATATGAGAACGGATGGAGTATTAAAATATACACCAATATATATAATAATAAAATAATAATTTTTAATTGAAAAATACACACCAAGATCATAAAAATGAACAAAAGATAAAATATCAAAAATATAAACATAAAAGTAAATAATTTGAAAGAGAAAAAAAGAAAAAAGTCTCTCAATAATTCAGTTCAGTAATAGGTGATATGCCTATTACTTATTTTCAGAGTCACATTTACACTTACTTTTCAGATGCACTTAATTTATTAAAACATCATATTTGGTTATCAAACGACCTTAAAAATTAAGTACTTATTTTGTTAAGTTCTTAATCAATTAAGTTATTATGAGATCACATAATAAACAGTGTAAATCAATTAAGGACTTCATTAATCAAGTTTAAATACTAAATGCGTTTATCTTTTCTTTTCTTTTTTTTTTGAAAAGATTCATTTTTATATTAAGAAACATAATCTATTACAACACATTTTGTTATAAGCTAATTTATGAACTTCATCTACATCTAGTCTACTAGCTTTAATTATTTGAGAAAAGGAAAAACTAGAAACTAATTCACGTATTAATACAATTATTTCTTGACCTTTCCGTCGGGATTAACGCATGATTAAGATCGAGAGTAAATATCTCACAATCCGTAAAAACCTTAATCCTATTGATTCCAAAATTAGAAGTTTCACGTAGAGCCAATAGGCCTAAATTAGTTTATCTCACCTCAGATACTATAGTTTAGTTCTTTTGGCGGAATCGTTATCCAATGCTATATTATTCAGTTGTTAGAAGTTATTGTACTTATTAATTCGGATTGTTATTGTCTCGATCATCTCTTGGAAAATCAACTCAAAAGGACTAATTTACTTGATGCAGATGGCATTTTGTGATAAGATTATCATGTGCAAAGTTTTTTTACTTTTCTTTTTTTTTAAACTGAAATAAAATTACCACGTCCTGTGGAAATAAAAAAGGCGAAGTTGAATAATACCTTTTGAATTACCCACAAGCAAACGAAAGGAAAACATAATGATTATGATTTGAGAATAATGACCAGTGCTGGCTCCTTTATGCTATTTGCACTTTTTTTTAATCAATCAATTCTGTTTTCTTTCTATGTAGTGGGCAAGAAACATTGTAAAAACATTATATGTATAACATTTTGTAACATTTTGTTGTATGTTTTTACGTTTTACACGAAATCAACAATAATTCAATGCTCCCTTGTCAAAGGAAAAAAATGTGTTTTGTCATACAATATTATTTAAGTTCAACAAAAAAAAAATTATGTGAATGGACGAAGTAATACTTATTTTATCTCAAAATGATTGTCTATTTTAGATTTTTTATTTTTAGTTCAATTGTTTTTACTAAAAATAAAAATCTGAATTGGAGTACAATTTTACAGAAAAATAAATTAAATTTCTACAATTTAAATTAACAATAACAAAAACAACAATAATAATTATGTTTGAATGTTAAATTAAAAAGTTGTTAAATGTAAAAATTTTTTAATGAGGCAATAAAGCCTAGCGAGCAACTTTATTTGTTATGATCTTGAAGATATTTCACTATAAGTTTCTATGTAGATTACAGCAACTTTACAATGCTTGTGTCGGAGAAGGCACAAATGCAACCGACATCTTAAGCAAGGGTCATGGCGGGGCATCATTCAAGATTTTTTTATATCAATAATTTTTCATTCAAATATCTTATTTGCACTTTTTGGAATGAATATGAAGACAAGCCAACTTTAGAAAGAAGTAAAAAACAAAAACGTGAAGTATTACCTTGAATCCATTTGAGGAGACTCAACGTACATATTCCAGCGAATGATTTTATTTTGCACTTCCTAATTCAGATACAATATAATCAGGTAATCTTTTCTACTTACCACTTCAGAGGAAGAAAAGGAAAAAATAAAATAAAATCTCCCTCTCATAATTGGAAACAAAAAATGTGATTCACATCTTTTTTTTTTTTTACTTTTCTTTCAGTTTTATTTTTTTGGTTTCAAATTAAACATGATAAAAGCTCACACAATGCAACTCATAACATATCAATATCTTGCCTCAGACCCTTTCAATTTGCCAAACACAAGAAAGAAAGAAAAAGAAAAGGGAAAAAAAAAATGAGATCCAAGCAACAACATAGTGTCAACTTCAAACCCTTAATTTATCTATGTTTCTTCTTCCTTTTCCTCTTCCTCCTAAAGCTTGGATCAATCTTTTCATCATCAAAGATGCAAAATCTCCAAAGAAAATCTTTCAAATCTTCCTATCCCTTCAGCACCAGCGGCAGCGAGACGTATGAAAAGCTCCCACAATCTCTAGCTGAGGGAATCGTCCACTATGCGACCGCAAACTTTACCCCACAACAAACCTTCAAAGAGCTCCAAATAACCCTAAAAGTTCTTGAAAGAAGATCGCCATGCAATTTCTTAATATTCGGGCTTGGGAACGACAGCTTAATGTGGTCAATGCTAAATCACAATGGAAGAACAGTGTTTTTGGAGGAAAATCAAAAATGGATGGAAGAAGTAAAGAAACACATGACATCAATGGAAGCATATCAAGTGGACTTTGATACTTACACAGTAGGTCAAGCTGTGGAAGCTTTGCACATTGGTCAAGAAAATGATTGCAAGGAAGTGACTGATCCAAGGCTCTCAAAGTGTAAATTGGCAATAAAAAATTTCCCTGATGAGGTTTATAACACCGAGTGGGATGTGATCATGGTGGACGGACCGACCGGTTTTAGGCCGGATTTGCCCGGAAGAATGACGGCCATTTACACGGCTGGATTGATGGCAAGAAACAGGAAAAATGGTGAGACTGATGTGTTTGTGCATGATATTGATAGGTGGGTCGAGAATAAGTTCTCCATGACTTTCCTTTGTGAGGCTTATTGGAGGGAAGAAATTGGGAAAATTAGGCATTTCACCATTCCAAGCCACCGCGGAGTTTGGTTGCAAAGGCCCTTCTGTCCATAGGGTTTGCATTTCAGCCGTCCTCATTGCTTTGTCTCACTTTTCATGTATTACTTGTCAATTACTATTATAAAATTATGTTCGTTTGGATAATACTTGCAATATGGTGAATTTAATTCACTAATTATAAGTGTCATCAAAACAACATAACTTTGATTTTAGTAGACAATGAATTTTACATAACATTTGCAATTTTATTTTATTTTTTTTATTTTGAAAAAAGACATTTGCAATTCAAAGATAATCATTTCCTCGTCTGTTTTAAATTTTTTTGGTTTATGTTATTCTATTTATCAGAGGATTTTATAATCATATTATTCGATTGTTTCTTTTGTAATTTTGTGAGAATTATCATCCTAATTTTGTAATTTTAAAGTACCACATAATCCATTGGAAAAGATGAATACAATAAAAAGGGACAAAGCTGTCTAATTTTGCATTTTTTTCCCCTCAATTGCCCTTTTTTGCTATGAGCAATTAAGAACATGTGTTCGCAGATATGGGAATAAGTATGATTTTCTCATTGCAACTCGCTAGTGATATGATTACATTTTCAAGATGTTGTAAGTGGAGGGTTTTCAATTCGAACTAAATCATGGATTGAAACAAGAATAATTAACTTTGGGTTTAGGCAGTCAGTATTTACTACTATTAATTTGCTACTCCCTCCATTCCAAAATAAGTGTTGTTTTAGCAAAATGGAGAAATTTCAAAATAAGTGTCGTTTTCGGATTTCAATGCATTTTTTGTCAAAAATTTTTAAACATACCCTCAAAAAAATAATATTATTGGTGCACATTTATTTTAATGGGGTTAACTGAGGATATTCTAATAATTTAGTTATCCTATTTAAGTATTTCTTAAATTATGTGCAAACTCTAGAATGACACTTATTTTGAAATGGAGGGAGTACAAAGTACTATCAGATATGTAAGGCCGGCTCAAAGTTCAATGCATGTGTAAATACCGATCTCATATCAATAGTTCACATCGATGAACTATTTTACACGATCAAAATACAAAAACTGTGGTGAACCTTAATATTCTAGCAACTAAATGAGTTGAGAATTCTTTATTCCGTTAGGCGCCGACCCTAAAACCTAAACCTTAAATGGAAAGTTCAATTCATAGATTGCACTCAAATAACGTAGTTATAAGTTATGACTTCACATTAAAAGAAAAATGAGTATAAGCAAAATGTTACACCTTCCGGAAAATGATATTGCGGTCTGAATTTTTATTTTTAGTCATTGTACAAAGATCCAAATGGGGAAATTCTTAATTATGTATAGATTTTCTGTTCTTTTTTTTTTCAAGAGTAAAAATATACAGCTAAATATAAAAGGAAAACTGAGGAGGAACGATGCATATTAATTCACGTCCATTCGTTTTTATGCTTTATTTGGGGTTTATAAATTTAATGTTAATTAGACAGTTTAGGTTTAGAACCATATTTTTCCTTGTTCTTTTTTCTTGTAACTTTTTCCCTATATATATCACGTCTTGGATGCCTATTAGTATAATTTTTCCCCAAAATTATTATCCACAGTGGATTTTTATTTTTAGTACAAATTGAATACCTATTAGTAAATTTTTCCCCAAAATTATTATTCACTTTGAATTTTCATTTTTAGTTCAATTTGTACTAAAAATGAAAATCCACTGGACAATAATTATGGGACAGAAGGAGTATTTAATTAAATAGACTGCTATATTAAGATACAAACCTCTCATGGCACCTCCAACCTAAACGCGCGCGTGCTTTGTTGTAATTAAAATAATTCAACAGCTATGACTTATTTTTGGACGGCATCTAATCTTGCAGATCTGCAAAATTTCTATTTATCATCCCTAGTGAGCAAGACAGCATTTAAAAAGCTCCAAGGCAAATCTAAGCTACTTAATTTAAAAAGCTCTTAAATTCTTAACCACAACTCCATTGCGAAAATTACCTGCTTTCTTAGATTAAAAATACATTGAAATATTATCCCACCATGTAATGAATTCCAATAAGAACTAACTGAGAAGCCCAAAACTCAAATGAGTAACTCGTACTTTGAAATCCCAAGATGACAAGCAAATAAAAGACTATCTTCAGTGACAAAAAGAAAAATGGCAGAAAGAATACAATGTTCGGAAAAAGAACAAATAGAATAAATCTGTTCCATACCAACCAATGAGAATTATAGAAGTTCGACACTCAAGAGTACTGCCAGTACGCATAAAAAATCCAGCAACTGCAAATCATAATTGTCAAAAAAGCACAGTTAATAGAAGAGACATCTATCTACAAAGGCACGTCCTCGTATAGAACCAATTCTACAAAAACTATTATAACATCGAATTGAGCTCAGAAGCTCAACAATAACAGGGTATATATATAAATAGCCACCCGAGTAACAAAGAATCATTGTGTCTCAATTTGTGTCTAAGTCTAGAATCTATAACCAGAACCGGAAGACGGCGGTGCAGGCGGCAATCGGTTAGGAGTTGTTCGGCGGCCAGAGCTGGAATTTGTGTTTGCATCACCATTTTGAGCAGGGTCACTGTACCTGCGGCTGTGACCATTGCTTCCATATCTTGAAGAATCGCCATAATCACTAGGGCCATTGGCTGCAGCATCAAAAGCAGTTCTCCACTCATCACCAGATGAAGGCCCAGCAGATGTGGGACTACTTTCTGCATCAGTAAGATGTAAGAAATGTCAAGGACCTACAAAAATGGGCATTTCAACTCGAAAAGTTGCACATTCATCTTGAATCTTATTTCTCCTAATTTAACATAAGTAAATAATGATTACGAAACAGATATCTACACAAATCATCACCTGCTCCACTGCCATTTGAGTAGCTTGCAGCAGCAGCTCTATTGTCATGAATACTGAGCTGTCTCGTCAGCTTTGAAAGAAGAGAAGACTGTTTTTGGAAACGTTCCCTTCTGCGTTTTACGTTTTGGTCCTCCTGAAGCAGCTCTTCAATCCTTGTGTTACTTTGGGCACTGGCAACCAAACAAAATTACTCATTACAGGTGAAGAAAGCAACTAAGGGAACAAAAGAATTGGAGCAAACCATCAGGACTTCTTGGACAGAGTCATTAATGAACAAGATTGATACATTAATCTGAAAGAATCTCCATTATGAGAAAATGGCATTTCATTTTCATAGAAAGTAACAAATAATGCTCATGAAATAATGATTACGAAAGGTGTTGAAATAGCATATGGAATACAAGGAATTAAAAGTACGACAAACCTGATAGAACTGTACAACTTTGTGAGCATGTCTTCTTTTGCTTTCTCTACTTGACAAAGCACAACAGCCTGGAAAAAGAACAATAAGCAACATGGTTTTGACTTAACTCAATTAAAAACAAACAAATATAAAAATCCAACATGTTTCAGTCCCTCTGGGGAATTGTCAAATCAAAACTTACTTTCGGGACATTGGCAGCAAGACTGTTGAGTACAGCTTCAACATACCCACGTACTTCTTGAGCCATCCACCGAAGTTCTTCTTCTGGATCAGCAGGCCTTCTCGTCATAGTTTCCTAATTAACAGGTTGCAAGCGCAAAAAGAGTAAGCAACATTCAAGTCAGAAAAATGAGTTATTGCAACACTTTCAATAATTCAATCAATTTAATCACATAAAGTTCTCCGTGCATTTTTACAAATAAATATACAATCACTCACAAGAGATCCATCAGAAAGACTTTGGCGAAGCGGAGGACCAGACTCAGCCTTCACTTGGCCACCTTTTGCGCTAATAACAGCCCTCAATTTGTTCAACCACTCAGTCTTATCCGCCATACTCTCAGCTTTTAGAACCACCGCGCTGTGAGCTGCAACAATAAAGTTACGATTTCTCCTTGTAAAGAAGCTCTTTGGAAAGAACCATAAAAAGAAAACAGAATTATTAAAAGTACCTTTTAGAACCGTTTTGTATGGGACCCTGCTTGTAATCTTGAATACAAGACTAGGTGGTTTTGGAGCATCTGGTCCATTTGCCGCCTTCTTATCCTTTTTGGATGACGGGGGTGGAGCCTCATCATCTTCGACTTCTTCGAGGTTACATTCCTACATATACAAGCAAAACATTGTAACATAAAGTACAAAACTTCCCTACCAACAAAGCATAAACAAACAGAGCAAAAACCTCAACATCATTGACATCTCATTGTAACTATCATATTTAGGGGGTTTCATTGACAGAAATTTAATCTTATCAAACTGAACAAACTGAGATAAACTTTTATCTTAACTACAATTACAGTTCCAAGGCACAGATTCATGAAGTAGAAGTGTTCGCTTGTAGTGCCCTACAATTTCCATCGAAACAGCAGTTCACAAAACAAGGAGACGCAGACTAGATAGTAGGGGACTAGGTCATTCTAAACATCATACCTCTAAAGTAATCACCCCACGGAAATGCCGCTCCTCTTGTTTTTTAGTGTATCCAAGCTGTAGAAAAGGAATTAAAATCAGAAACTCTGAGCTGTAAAGTATAATAACACATCTCAATGGAGTTTTCATTTTGTTTTTCACTTTTTAATAGCATGCTTTGAGCCGAGGAAACCTATACACTAAATGCATCAGGATAACCTTCATAAAGTTTTTAACAGTTCGATTACAAAAATTAGGCTAACCTTTCCAGTTTTTTCATTTAACACAAACCATCTCCTACTCCATCCATTTGTCTTGGCACTTCTTTTCAACAAAAATCCTGCAGAAACAATAGAGGGTTAAAAACAGGAAGGATTTATTATGAAGCTAGGCAACCAACATGATTTATGCCACATAGATAAACAATTTAAACAACCACATATTTCCCATGCAACCGGTCTTACTACTCATTACAATATCACAGTAGTGATGACTTATCCAAATTTGGCACTTCAGACATTTAAGCAAGCAATCATAATTTACATGTGACTTCAAAAGGCAACAGCAGATTGCAATATAAACATCTTACAATCATATTGTGTAATGCAAAATAAGTCATCATCAATTAGGAATTTAAATAGCAGTGCTTACTCTGTTAACCTCATGGATAAAAATCTTAACAGGCGCGACAAGTTTAATGCTATATGGCCAAATTAACCCGTGAGTTATGCCTATCTAGCCTAACTGCACTAGAGAGGGAAGGGTTTATCCAATCACTTAATAAACCAGCATGGCCCTAGACCATCTTCCTAAAAGAACTACAAGACCTTCCATAGTTGTGCACAGGGTTTTACAAAGCCACTAGGGCCAGTTAATGTTTTCCACAACAATTAACAAAATCCAAATAACAAACCAAAAAGTGAACATTCTTCCGAATCTATCAACAATGCTTTCAAACTCCAAATAGTTCTGATAAACTAAAAGGCACTAGCAACACTGAGATGTAAATGTAAACTCGTTACGAATTCAACTCTATCCTATCCGAATGGTAAGTACAAATGCAATCATAATAAGAAAGATCTTTCAGAGTGAACCTGCTGTTATCTCTCCCTCGGCCCCGGCAGTTTTCAAGGCTGGCCCTTCTTCTTTGTCCTGTCCAGATTTATCCTTCATAGACTTTAGGCTCCCGCCAGATTGTTGACTCCCAGTTTGAGGACTAGTAGCCTAAAATTTTCATTTTAAAGCAGCCAGAAAGTAAATAAAAATTAGAGAGATTAGAAGGCAAATGACAAATATCCAAACCATGCTGAGATACACAACACGAAAATCACTGAGCAAATTGAAGTACCCTATTCAATATTGATTGCTCAGCATCAACTGGCTTTTTAGACCGTATTTTCTGCTCTTCCTCCCTTCGTTGTCTATCCATTCTGATAAATAAATAGAAGACCTTATTATGACAAGAATACAGAATTTTGATAGTAATTAAGAAATAAGTATAAAATGAATAAATTCAAAGAGAGAGACAATTAAGCAAAAATATAACAGTAATCAAGGAACTATGGCCATCAAGGGAGATTCACCTTTGAACTCCCTTGTTATCAACAACAAAACTAACAATAGGGTCCTAAATGATTGCTCGAATAAGCGACTATAACCGTACCGTCTCTGCACCAAACGGATGAAATGTTGAGGGGGAACAAATGCTCTCTCCATGTCAACAAGAGCGACAACCATCTTCTTTGCCTCACCCTTAAACCCATCCAAAGCATCCGTGGCAATTTGTACAACCTTTATAACAAATACACAAAGATAAGGTGACAACAACGGCAAAAGATTTCTTTTCGAAAGAACACTGGATATCACCATGTATAATGTAAAAAGTAATCCAGCCACTACCTCTCGCTTAAAAGGAGGATATCTGCCAAGACCTGGAGTAGCATTGGCAGCTGCTGATACAATATCAACAAGTACACGATGCACCTATGCAAAATTTTGTCAAAATTAGCCCACAAACACAAATCAAAAGGCAAATACCTATTGAAATCTCCCACATGGAAAGCAACCAGAGTCTTGCATCAAAATCTAAATAAAGCTTGTCCCATAATTTCTAGGCCTAGAGACCTTTATAGCTAGATAGATGATAAATAGGAGAGACCGTCGGTATCCATGGCTGAGACAATCATGAGAAGGAACATGCAAAGCAATAAATCAACCTTTGGAACATAACACCTACTTTGCATAACCTTAACCGTTGGTTTTTAGTACCAAAGAGTAACAACGTAAAATAATAAAGACAATGTCGGACTACTGTTACTGATAAAATTATCACTCTCAATTAAAATAAATATCTAAATATGACAAATGGAAGTTGCAGAGTCCACAATCAAATAAACATAATTGCAATAACAAAGATCACAGGCCAATGAGTGTAGGGTACCTCATCAACGCAGAGTCTTGAAGGTTCTTTTGCCATTTCTAAAACGATCTTAATCAAAGATCTTAAACCTTTTTCTGGAGAAATAAGGTAAGGCTGATAACCATCTGCCTCAAGAACAATCTGGTCAAAAAAAAAGCAGTTACCACCGATATGTAAGTTGAACCAAACCAATAGATAACACAAATTAACATTGAGTAAGAAAATCTTCTGTCAAAAGGAAAGAAACCCAGAGCACTTACTCTTTTAACATTGTTGATATCAAAATGGCGATCTAGAGGAAGTTGCTTTATTCTGTTAGGAAAGTTTCCCTCAAAACTAGCAACAACTTTCCAACCGTCACCCTGAAAAAGATCCAACATTTACATTAATCATACATAACACATGACCATAAGCAATGACTGCGTAATGGGCATTGACTTCAAAGAATCCACACCAAAAAGATAATTGCTTCATTAACAGGAGCTGAACGTCAAGCAATAAAAAAGTTTTTGCCAGCTAAAAAGGTATTGTAAAAGTTTTTATGCACAAAAACATATTCCCCCAAACCTTTCCTGAAAAGGTTGAAAGCTTCTGATATAAGGTTTTATGAACTGACATAAACAGGGTGGATAATCGGACCAACCTTTTATTCAAATGCTTATCGAAGAATTAGAAAACTCTGAAAAGTAACTTTTTTTTTACTTCATTTTCTGATACTACTACTTTCAGACATTTGGTGCTATTTAAACATAGCCCAGGGGAAATTGCACTTCTCATTTTTGGTATTGCAACATTCAAAGCTATATGGTAGTATCCATCTTATGAAACTCAGTTTTGCTGCAAACAAACATCCACAATGACAAATTTCTCCAAACGTAGCTTCTGATTAAGGATCCCAATTATTTATAACATAACATCCAAATGATACTTCTCCGTTAGTTCAAAATTATTTGACCTCCAAAGTAACTTCTTATACCAAATTAACTGTCAGTCATGCAAGCAATCCCTCCATTCCATCCCAGAGACAAGGCCAAAACTATGCAAAAGCTTAAGTTCAAGCTCTGTCATCTCCAGATGAAGCTTGGTTGACCCATTGATAAGCCAAGAAATCCAGTATGAAGATGTGGTGCCATATTAACGGGGCATGACCTAGCTACACCCTAAAGCTAGGTGACACATCTTCAACACTGACAGGTTATACATCCTCCCAAGTGACTCTTAACACTTTCTAAATGAGACAACCAAATAGGCTTTTAGGTCCCCATTGATTAAACATTCTAGAAAGTGGAATATGGAATCCAGTCATCAGAACCATAAAACGAACCTAGTAGAATATAATGAACTAAAATGCAATGACGTTTGCAGGAGATTACAAGGAACTAGCAGGCAACCAGGGTCAATAACTTTAACTTGACATGTCGACAATAGAAACAAGGATGCAAAAAAAGAACAACTCATATATCGTTTTTAAGGTTAATTCATCTGCAGATCATTCGTGAAATAAAGCCGAATGACAAGTGCTAAGACTATCGTTATTATTTTAAGAGTACATTATTGTCTTCCAAATTATACCATTAGTAACATTGAGCAAGAATATGAATAAGCACCGAACACATCAGAGAGTAGACGAAACAAAATTGCATAAACAATATCAAAAGAATGCAAAGCATTAAAAACAAAAGAAGCAATGAGATATCAGAACTCGAAAATCCGTCTTGTCCTCGTGCCCTCAAATATGTCTGTGTTAAAATGATACACATGGTAGATGTAAATTTCAAACATCTCACCTCTCCACTTGTTATATGCTGGAGAAACTTGTCCTCGAATTCACGGCAGAGCTCCAAAGCTAAGGCTTTTGTACCTTCGGCGCTATCAACCATCTGTTCCCCGAGCCTAAATAGTTCATCCTGCACAACTTGAGACTTCCCCTGAAGGCTGCAGAAACAGGAAAAATTTGTACTTTAGCACCAACAGTGACTCAAAAACACAATGATGGTCTCAAAGAAAGAAATTATATGGTTGAAGTTATGCACTGCACTGCACTCTTCAGCACAAGCCAAAAGCTACATTTCAAAAACAGCACGCATTCACAAAGTTCAGAGTATGTAAATCGACCGGAATGGAAAGATACTCATAAGCCCTCCAATCAATTTATGAACAAACTACCGTGCACAATAACAATTTAAAAGAGGAACTACCAAAAAACACAGGACAGAGACTATACACATCAAAAGCTCCAAAATAAAATTCTATTCCTCGTTTTGGGTAGTCAAAGGGATGCAAAAAATTTGATAAAAATTTCATAGATGGCTAAAAAAAGACTATCATGTACCAAAAATTGCCAACATATATATATATATATGAGAGAACAAGACCTACCCTGATAGAAGACTTGGTAGTCTAACTTTCATTCGGTTACGAATTTGGTGAGACAAGGTCTCTACTAAAGCTAATCTACCAAGCTTGCTCTGTGGAGCACCAGTCAATATAGACTTAAGGCTTTCGCTCTCAGCACGCCAAGCAGTTTCTAGTGAGTTATCAGCTCCATCTCTTCCTGACTGGGCAGAGGCAATGGACACGGATTGACCAATTAATGCTACCCATGGAATATCAGCTGTACTTCTTGGTCCTTGATTCAACAAAAGAGCCTGAACAGCTGCAAGGACTTTCGGATCTGAAGCTGCTTGATCTATTTTACTAATAACACCCACGGTTCTAGTACCTATTAATCCAAGCCAAATTTATATCAAAGACAGAAACAAGAACATGAAAGTAATTAAATTATTGCAAAAGAAAAAATGTTCATAAAATTCTCTACAAAACCTACATTCTCCATCATACTCCTTTGCAAGTCTAATAGCTTTGGCTGACGCAACTTCTTGTGCCTGTGTTGCCGGTATTACAACCAGCAAAATTGCATCATTATGTTGAGCATATTCTGCCTGCAAAAGGAAACATCCACATGATAACCAAAATTGTCAATTCAAAACTCAATGCATCTTGGTTCTTGGATGCTATGCAGAAGCAGATACCCTCCCAAAGTAAATATGCTTTGTGAAGTCAAACCAATTAGTCAGAGCAACTCACCAACGAGTCGTCAAGATTCCCCTTATCCACTCCAGGCAAATCAATTAATTTCAATGGAGGAGCTGTGAGTCAGGAAGAGGAACTAAAGAAATTAATATCACAATTTAAATTATAAAGAAACAGAATGAAGAGTAAGAAAAAAACAAGTGCTTTGCAAAATTTGCATTTCCAAGAAACAAGTAACAAACAAGATTTTACATCTATCCATCTATACAGCCAATTTTCAAAGTTCTTGAGAGCACATTCCACACTTTTCCTTCAACAATTTGAAAAGGGAAATATACCAATGACCTACAATCTATCAGTAGCGCATCACAAGAACCAAAAAGATGCATGCCTACAAAATGCCTTTGCTTAAAAGAAAACTCAGACCCAAAAAAAAAAAAAGAAAGAAAGAATTGAGGATGTCGGTCAGAACAACCTTATTGCAGGATAACAAGTAACCCAATGCTATACTAATGTGTATGCCCATCAGCAATATGAGAATCAAAGTCACCCCACCTGTACTTGTTCGTAGCTTCAAATAAATCTCATCACGACTTTTGCCTGAGATTTTGCTCAGTCTATCTTGTAAAGAATGTCGAAGAGCACCTAGAATGTGGCAAGAAGTTAAAAGCCAAATTGAATAAAGCTTCATGTCTAAAGAGAAAACACAATTTTAATACTAGATAAAGAGGAATAGAGACATGGTAGAGAACTCTTACTTGCAGAAACTGGCTGTGATTTGCTGTCAATTTGCAAAACAATTGATCTACTGTTCAAAGAGCCATCCCTAGCCAAGTCAATACATATAGGAGCCCGGGTAGCACCACCTTCACCAGTAGGCTATAACCAATAGTAATAAACAAGTAAGAGCAGGAAACATAACCCATAAAGCTTTGGAGCACTCCAAACTCCGAAAGAACACAAAGGATTCATAGAGGAAGAACTAACCAATGCAGGATGCCCAATTAAACTGTTTAATACAGCTGATTTACCTGCACCCTGGACATCGCATAAAGTTTAGAAACAGCACACATGACTGCTAACCAAGGGGAAAACTACAAAGATATCAACAGAGCCAAGAAAATGACTTCAACAATCACTTAGTCTGTTACTCTCAGTAACACAACTAGAAGATAAACAAAACTCAGAAAGCTGCTATAGGCTGTTCATGTAAGAAACAACGTCATCTAGTTCCATATCAACCAAGCCAATTTTAAAGGCCAATGATTTTGTCCATCTGTTAAGGACAGACATAAGGAAAACAGAAAGTTTGCACAACTACTCGAGTTGCATAAATCTGGCAAAAACAAATAGTGAACTAAAAAGCTCACATGGGCATAAGTTTACTTCTAATAAAGAATTAATACAAAAGAATGAAAAGAGTAGAATAATTCAAATGTATAGATAGACGGGTAATCAGTGAACTGGCAGCCACAAATAAAGACCACGAATAAATCTGAGGAGCAACAAGTGATAGAAAAATCCAAAACCAGAAGAAACTTACTTTTGCCTCTAATTTGTTCAAGTAAAATTGTAGCAAAGGTTCAACAATTTGTTGTAAAAACTACAAATATCAGAACAAGATCCTCAACATAACAATGTTAATAGGAAGACTTCAACTCAGCCATGGATGCTGAACTCAACTAGAATACTTGCCTGCAATAACGTATGGTTCATATATCAGTTTTAACTCCTCTAGTTGACAAGATACCTTCCTAAACCATTTCTTAGTATATTTGGTAATCACAGGCCTGCCCACGTGACATATCTCAGTTCCCCACATGTTTCAAAAGATTATTCTGGAAACAAACAATCCCAGAAGACTGTGAACCTTGGACAGGTTTAGAACAGAACGGGTCAGCTTTGGAATAATAAACTCTCAAGATTGTTAAGGTAAAATATTTACCATTCTCTGAAGATAAGACTTGCCCGCAACTTGAGCTAGGGTTATTATGTCAATAACACGTAAGGAAACCTGCCACCTAAATTTTATATCTTTGTTCGGAATTCTCACCAAGTATTACTGCATTCTTGGTCTACTAATGAAATTACTAACCAAGGTGGAGATGAAAAAACACGTGATCACTTAGATAATCAGAACGATCAGCAAGAGTCGGTAGCTCACAATTAGTCACAGCATTTAGCATTTTCTCCAAAGAAAATTCATAGACCAATAGCCACATCTGTTGCTATGAATGAATGAGAGAACATCTAAGTCTCACTAAACGATTGTTCACACTGATTGTTAAGAGATGCACAAAATGTATAGTCAAGCAATAATCAAGAGATGCACAAAATGTATAGTCAAGCAATAATCAGAGTCAATCAGCGTGATCTACAAATAAACTGATTCATAATTAACATCTCAAATACAGGGTAGAACTGCACTAGGGAAATTCACAGATCAACATCTTCAAATTAAACAAAGGCTGCAGGAAATGCCAATTTTATCAACAGCATGATTCTAGTTCCACCAGCAGAAGGAAATAACTACAGAGACTGCCATTTGTACGATGCATGCATCAGCGATATTCTGAGTTGTGGGATCAAGTTGGTGTTAAACTAATGCATTCAGCCACAACATTCATGCATTGCATGGTACTTTAACTGAAGTCATGCGAAAAATCATGAGGCAAGGGTTACAGGCATACATTCTCCCATAGAACTCCAATGAGGTAGCTCTTTCTCCCAAGGGTTAAATTCAAATCGAAAAACTTCTTCACATGTCACGGTTCCATTCTATGGCTGCAATGTACCAACCATATGATTGAAAATTCGAGACAAATATAAAAAATTCCAATTTCCATGAAAAGAATCCTTCGGATCAGCTACAAAGGCAGCTAATTCTTACTCGTCTCACTCCTTAACAGTATCCAGTGAGCAATAGGGTTCAACTTGTCTATAATGTCTATCCCAAGGTGGCTGAGAGCATATACTTATGAAGATAAAAGAAAATGCCACAAAATTATGCACCTTATCGATTTTCCCCAGACTACAATCACAGAACAGCAAACACAATACGCGTTAATATAAGTTACATTCTTTATTTCCTAGCGATCAATGCAGTCTGAAGACTCGAACCACCATTTTATTACTACTACACCGACAATTATGGAAAAAAGAACTCTGAGCTAAGATTTAAGCTATTTCCCAACGTTTGGGGAAAGAGGATAAGAAACAAAGATCCCAAGAAACACATAGAAACTACAAAAATTAAAACGAAAATCCAGATCCAAAAGCAGCTCCAAGCTAAAGAGATAGATCTAAAAAACAACGCAGAACAGTTCAACTTACGGTGTTACCCAGGGCGACGACATTGAGAAAAGTAGAAGGGCGTCTAGACGAAGTCGATTCGTCAACATCCTCATCAGCTAGCAACGCGGAAGCTTGCCTCATCGAATCCGAGAGCTGCGACAACTCCTCGATCGCGTCCATCTCTTCTTAACCAATGAAACAAAAACACTCCGATCAATCTCCTCCTCGAATCTTAACAACAACAATATACAATAAAAAGCAGCTTCTTCAACTCCGGTGTAGATCCGACCAAATTACGCCAATACACGAAACCCTCGATCTGGTGCGTAAACCGATTTGGGGGAACGTTTTAGGGTTCCGGTGAGAAGAGCAGACCGGATTTGAAGGTTTGAAAAAATTTAAAACGAAGGGAGAAAGAAAGAGAAGAAACAGAAGTGCGTGTGTGTATATTGGGAATTTCGGAACCCAAACTTAAGAAAATTTCAAAAAGAAAAAGAAAAATAAGAATTGTACGTAATTTTGTTTGCTGGTGAAGAATTTGACGTTTGTTTTTTCACTTTTTGATTTTTACAGTTTACAAACGAATTGTATTTGAATTTGGGATTACTGATTGTAGGAGGATTTGCCGTAATAAAAGTTTTGAATAAAGAGTTGATGATGATCGTGGGGCATGACGTGTGACGTGGGAACCCCTTTTTTCACTGTTTTGTTTCAAACTGAGTTGGATATTTGAAAGTTGAAACTACTTGGAAAATTATTTTTCTTACATGTTAAGCTTCAAATTTTTATGGGCAAAAAGACAGTGTTATCAAGCTCGGACTGGAGCTCGACTCGGTATGGCTAGGGGGTCAAGCAATTCGGGGGTCGACTCAGGACGAATCGGGAGTCGACTCGGATGACGTCATGATGACGTAATAAATATTAATTAATTAATAATTATTTAATTAAAATTTTATATATAATTACCAATTATTAAAGTCAAATTAGTATTTTATATCTTGGAAATGAGTTTTGATGGGACAAAGTTGAACCCGAAAGGTCGATAAGATGATTTTTCTTAATCATTAATAAAAAAAGAATTTAGTTATTATATGTTTACAATTAAAAAACTTAAGATTTATATCTCTTTTTATTGTAACAGTTAATATTGATATTTTTGGTATTAGTTAATTATAGTTATTTGTGAAGTAAGTATATTAATAAGGTTATTAAGATAAATTAATTATTACTAAACATCAATTGTTACTTAAAAAATTATTGAATTTGCAAAATAATTAACTTTAAACATCAAGAAAAATGTATTTTGAAATCAATTTCGACATATTAAAGTTATAGTTTAACTTTTGATGTGCGAGAAAATAAAAAAAAAAATCAAAATAAGGCCTTTAATAGGAAAAAATAAAAAACTGGGGACTAAAAAACCAAAACAATGTTTTGAATAAAACAAATATTGAAAGTTGTGGGCCATTTTTTAAGAAAAGAAAAAAACTTGGGCTTGGAAGATGTTGGATTCCATGAGAAATTGTGAAAAATTTTGGTCAAAAGTCAAAAAACTAAAAAACCCGAGTCAATCCAGTTCGATTTGATTCTCGATTTGACCGAAATTTTAACCGATTTTGACCGAGACTGAATTTGGCGATTTTTAGACTGACTCGACTCGTTTAGGAGTCCGGTTTCCGGTTTAACCGGTTCAACCGGCCAATCCGAGCCGAGTCTGATAACACTGCAAAAGGACCTTCACATTAGAGAAGAAAAATAATGTATTCCTTGCATTTCGAAGAAATAAAAGGGGTTGTATGAACAACCCAAAAATCCAAAAATAAAATAAAAATTCAAATCACTATTAAACTTAAATCTTAAAACAAAATAAATACTCCCTCTAATCTGAATTATAAGATACAAATTCGAACTTATTTAGTGTTGTATATCTTATAATTAGGATTGGAGGGACTACTATCCTTCGAACATTTTGACTTGCTTTAAAATTTAATATATTATTTTCACATAATTTTCACTTAATATCATTGAACCACCGGCAGCCGCGGGCAGCCAAGTGGATGCTCCGATGATAGTTGATTAATTTAACATTTTATTCCAAAAAAAAAAAAAAAGCTATCAATACAACATCTCAATTTTTCATTTAAAATACTTATTAACCCAAAATTTTAAATTGGGTGCCTAAAATTTTTAATCATTAAATTATTATACGGTTTAATTTTCATTTTTATAATTTTTCACATTAAAAATTTAGTAATGAAATTTTTTTAAAAAATAAATTGGTCCAATTATCCTGATACGACTAACATTTCAGTGAAAGCTTATCTTTTTATCATTTTCAAAAGAAAAAAAGAAAAATTATTAAATTTTCACAAATTATAAATCATAAATTTTACTCCACTTGTATTAAATTTTTTCAATTGAGCCAAATTTGAACTTTGACCAATTACTTTTGTAAGGGGTGCTTGGTTCATGGAGGCAGAATGAAACCTTGAAATACATTGGAATGCAATAGGCTACTTTGAAATTTGAACGATCGTTGATTCATTAACGGTGCTTGGTTGCACAAAATTTTGGGATGTGAATATACATAAAATTCCATTTGCGCCCTTACCTTCAACCTTTCATTTTGGCATAACTTTCTCCCTTTGACTGATTCGCCGCTCTTGCAGCAGCCACCAGCCGCACCTGTAGTGACCCGAACAAGAACCACCCAGGTTTACCCAACTGAATAGTCTTGTTAAGGCGTCCACCTAGCTCGCGCTAAGGTTCGTTTATCGTTTAATTGTTAAAACCTGCAAACTTTATATTACATCAAAGCACAAAGGCAACATTATTACAAAGCTCAAACGTGAGCTTGAGTTATGTTTCTCGACAAAAGAATTACATTACACACGTGCAACCTAACACCAACTGGCTAGCAAACTATTTACATCGAACACTGTCTCACGAACCAATCATTTCGTAGCCTGGCTAAATTTCCATTGCGTTCGGACCTGGGAGTGGGTTAGGGGAATAAAATATAAAAAGGGGTGAGTGCCGAGCTCAGTGAGGTTCGCACTATGCTACTACGATACTTTTAATGAAACTATTTTCATAAGTATATTCAAAAGTAAAATAGTTTCGCAGATAATTATTTAGCAATCAACTATTTCACATTAAACAGTTATCAATGGGGTGGATACGGGGAAATCTTAGCAAGGACTGTCAAAGAGCTTATGTGGCACAGAGACAGACTCCGAACCAGATTTCAACAACACGTTAACAATAACGATTCAATGTCATTAACAATTCCTCCTCAACACCTCGTGGCCACTATTGCATACTCATGAGCTCTGTGTCCATCTGGACAACACGATAAGCTTTGGTAAGCTAACCTGGCAACCAAACTCGATGCCGGCCCGCAAGGTTTCGCCTAACAAAAGCAGGGCCCAGGCTCTAAGTGAATACAGTCCACTGAAGCAACAATCATACACATAATTTGGTTAATCAAGATACAATTGGTACAACAATTATTCCGAAGTGATAAAGTACACTGTTAGATCATCACAAAGTATAGCAACTTTTGCACGAGGCAATCACCTTCAACACGTATAGCACTTACCGAAGCGATAAAGTACACTTCGGTTCAACCAATAAAATGCACATCTTTTTGCAACAGGAAAGGAAACGTATTTTTGTGTGCATTGACTTTTGAATATAATCCCATACTCCCAGATTTTCAAAATAATTTTAAGAACAGTGAGAGTTACTCACCGGCGTTGCCGAGCTGGTCAGTATCCTCGTCCACTTGGTCTGCACATAAACGTTGCCAACAAATTATTTTATGTGGTAAACATGTTCTGTATATGGTCCTTACTAACTTAACTAGGTAAAATTATTATTTAATTTAGAATTAAGTTCAACTATAACAAATACTTTAGTTATTACTGTTATTGTCATTATCTTAATAGTTTAGTGATTTATTATTATTGTTAATATATTAATAACTTAATTATTTATTATTATTATTGTTGTTTTTATTATTATTATTAGAGTGAACCTTAAAACAAGTCATTAACCTTTAATATATGTCCACTCTAGGTCATCAATTAAATTTATTTGTAACACAGATTACCTTACTAAATTTTTAATCCATTTCAGATTATTTTATTAATTTTGGCAGTTAAATAGTGACGGAAATCTATTTTTCACATGTTTTTGGGTTTAGGGGTATTTTTGTCATTTTTTATTATTTTTTTAATTTTTTAATCTTTTAAATTTTTTAATTTTTTTTAATTTTTTTTACAATTCTTCTTCTTATACTTTCTAACTTGTATATACTGGTTGTATAATTCTAAATTTTAAAAATTTATTTTCCTTTTATATTTTAACTTTTAGATTATAAAATTTTTTTAAGAAAATTAAGAAATGAAGAAGAAAAATTCGAGTTAAAGTAAACATGAAAATAAATAATTTATCATTTAAAAAAATAAAAATTAAAATAATTAGCCAAAACAAGTTGTTTTTTCTAGGTTATTTAATTTTATTCAACTCGATTGAATTATTTAATTATTAATTTTCACGTTTCTTATTCCTTTTTTGTAATAATCTACAAGTTAATATACAAATGATAAATTAATTTTCAAAAATGAATTTGTTTGTCATTTGTATCTTAACTTCTAGATTGTAAAAAAAAAAAGGAATAAGAAACGTGAAAATTAATAATTAAATAATTCAGTCGAGTTAAAAAACCTTAAATAACCTAGAAGAAACAACTTGTCTTAGCTAATTCTTTTAGTTTTTCTTTTTGTTTAAAATGGTAAATTATTAATTTTCATGTTTACTTTAACTCGAATTTTTCTTCTTCATTTCTTAATTTTTTTTAAAAAAATTTTATAATCTAGAAGTTAAAATACAAAAGGAAAATAAATTTTTAAAATTTAGAATTATACTACCAGTGTATACAAGTTAAGAAGTATAAGAAGAAGAATTGTAAAAAAAAAAATTAAAGATTAAAAAAATAAAATGACAAAAATACCCCTGAACCCAAAAGCATGTGAAAAATAGATTTTCGTTACTATTTAACGGCCAAAATTAACAGAATAATTTGAAATGGATTAAAACTTTAGTAAGGTAACCTGTGTTACAAATAAATTTAATTGATGACCTAGAGTGAAAATATATTAAAGATTGATGACTTGTTTTGAAGTTCACTCTTATTATTATTATCATTATTATTACTGTTATTCCAATTAATCATTAGGAGTAAGATTCTTTCTCTTTGCATTACCTACGTAGATTTGATCCACTTTTTTGCTTTACCTAGTTTTTTTTTCCTTTCTCTGTTTGAAAGTTTTTGGTTAATCAAGATAGTGGCCATTTGATTGTTTAGTTACTGCCCTTATGAAGTTTTAAACGTAAGTTACTAGGTTCATTGGAGAATAGGACTACATGTTTCTTTGACGTATATTTATTTAATAAAATCTTTTAACCTGTCCACACATGCTAATCTAAAGATGGTTTTTCTTAGGCTCAATTAGTTCCAAGCCGATTAACAGTAAGGACCTTTATAAAAGTGACTGTCTAATTGATAGAAATAAAGGTCGACTTTGGTGTCTTCGGTTGGGCTTACTAAAAAAAACAACTGATTGCACACGGAAAATTCACGGCCGTGGTAAAGTCATGGTAAGTTAACCACGGATTAGACATGAAATAACCACGAATAATTGATCAATTTGTAGTTTTTCT